CTCCACAAATGTTCTGAAGCTGACATGTGATGTGGAGAAATTTGCAAAAGAAGCCATTCTCCAGGGTTCCATAGTGCTCACTTATTAAGCGCTTAATCGTAATAAGTACTTATTAGGCACTTAATATTAATAAATGCTTATTAGGCACTTAATATTAAGTGCCTAATCAGCACTCATTAAGTACTTTCAGAATCATTAGGAATTAGGAATACACAAGGAATTAGGAGAACTCAGTGCTAGTCCAGTTCCAATTCTTGGTGATGATTTTGAGATTCTTGCTGAGAACGTCACTCTCTCTGTTGGGATCTTTCATTATTTTGAAAATGGAGATGTCCAAGTTCCCTTCCAGCTCTACCTGCTCTTTCTATGGCCTTTCTGTGTTCCAGGTGGACTGCCATGGTGGCATGAGCGGCACCATTTATGAGTACGGAGCCCTCACCATCAATGGGGAGGAGTATGTCCCCTTCAAGCAGTTTGCTGGCAAATACCTCCTCTTTGTCAACGTGGCCAGCTACTGAGGCCTGACGGGCCAGTACATTGGTAAGAGCCCACCCTTCCTCCCTGCTTTATTTGGGGCTGTACGGCATATTTCAATCCCAGGCGCTTTTCTGGTGCATGGCGGGTCGAGGGGAGGGTGGTAGCAATCATGAGAGTCCAAGCACCTTTTCCCAGCTCCACTGTGCTCCACAGTTTTGTGAAGATGATCATGTAAGCTTGAGGTCTGATTGCCTTTGGACCTGTTCTAGAAGATTCCCCATATACTTCTTCATCTCTGGGCACCTCAGCCACCCTAAAGGCAGAGGGATGGAGGAGATGTTTTGTGCTTAGAGCTCCTTTTGGCTGGAGCACGAGATGGTAACTGGAGCTCCATCTTGCTGAGAATGTCTCATCTTCCCTCAGCCCCGTCTGCTTTGGCGCTTCTCTTGGCGGATCTCTGGAAAGCAGGCGATTGTCTCAAGGCCCCAGAGTGTATGGTTACTGTAGCAGGATGAAGCGGGAGGCTAGACTTCTAATCCTCATTCTAAAACAAACTTTGAAGATGATCTGGTTTGGCCTTCCCCTCTTCTCAGTTTACAGATAGGCAACCAAGGCTCAGAGTGAAGACGCAACTTAAGCAGAGTCACAAAGCTATTAGTGGCAGAATGGGGCATTTGGCCCAGGTTTCATGATCCCCTGATACGCTTACTTCTTTCTCCCTAGCTGTAGTAGAGCGCAGAGGCTGAGAGAACAGGCAACCAAAGGCATGTGACTGCACCCAGGGGAAAACGCTCTGGTGCTGAGCAGTCTGCTGGCAGGGGTCAGGGAGGCAAGGGCAATCTGGCCCTCCATGCTCTGCCTGTCAATCACAGGCAAATTCCTGGAAGTGAAAGCACAGCGGGGCATATGGCCCAGTGGCCATGTGTGCTCTGTCTGGAATGCTTCTCTCTCGCCTTGAAAAAGAGCAGAGTGCATTTGGGCGAGAGATGGGGCAGGTGCTACTGCAAGAGAGGCCAGGGGACATTGAGGAAACTGGGGACCTGAGCCAGGGCCACATCGGTGTTCCTAATTTGCCAAAGATTATGGGAAAATTGTAACCCCACCCCACCTCAAAGAAGTTCTGTGCCTTCTATCCAGGGTTAGACAGTTCTTGCTCCAGGAAACTCAATCCTGAGGGCCTTAAATGAGTGCTCCACCAACTGGCCCAGGTGGAGAGCCTTGGCAATTGGTAGGTGACTAACAGCTGATTTGGGGAAGGGTGTTATTCTTTTCCCCAAAACCTCTAATCCCTCCAGATTAGAGTCAAGAGGATAAGACCTGAGTCCCAGCATTGCCATGAACTCACTGGTGATCTTGGGCAAGTCCCTCCCTTTCTTGGACCTCAGCAGTTTCAGCTGCACAGCGGGTGAGCCGGGGAGTGGTGTGGATGAGACAGCGCTCCTCACCAGAGACTCCCATGTCCACTCTTTTTCTTTGGCCCAGAACTGAATGCACTACAGGAAGAGCTTGCCCCATTTGGTCTGGTCGTTCTGGGCTTTCCCTGCAACCAATTTGGAAAACAGGAACCAGGAGAGAACTCGGAGATTCTCCCCAGCCTCAAGTGAGTGCTCTCTCAGCATTCTAAGAAAACTCCTTTCACAGAGCCCACATGTCTTGAATCAGCCCCAGTTCTTGGCAGACATTTCTTAGCCACCAAGAACCACTCTCCTTTTCTAGGATCCCCAGTGCAGTGAGGGAAGGGAAGGGAAGGGACAAGAGAAGGAGGCCAGGGGCAACTGGTTGTGATGTGCCTCCCAGGGGAGCACCGAGGTGGGAGGACACTGAGAAGGGACCAGGTGGGAAAAGAAGATTGAGGATTCACGTTATGCCTACCCCCCTGCAGTTTGCTGGCTCCTGCTGCCCACCTTGGAGTAAATCCAGACTCCCAACCCCCCTCCCTGTTCTGTCCCTTCCTCTCATTTCTGAGCCCTGTGCCCATCTCCTTGGGACTCACCTAAGAACATTCCTCAACAGGTATGTCCGACCAGGTGGGGGCTTCGTCCCCAATTTCCAGCTGTTTGAGAAAGGGGATGTGAATGGAGATAAAGAGCAGAAATTCTACACTTTCCTAAAGGTGAGTGAGCTGCCACCTGTGTTGGCGGGGGCTGCAGCCCCTCCTGGCTCCAGCCCACACTGTCAAGGTCCATGCCACCTCCCCTGCTCCTGGGCTCTTGGGGAATTTCTTGGTATCTATTGTTCCGGCTAGACTAGGGCTCTGCAGACACTGCCTAGGGTCTCATCAGCCCATTTTACAGGAAAGGCCCGGAAGGAGGACCCAGAGTCATATGCTAAGGGTCTCACAATCTTCTAGAGCCACAGCTGATGCTGGCAGTCACTCTTCTAACTCCCAAACTGGCGCTGTTTCCTCAGGGCCAGGCTGTTCTCCCACCCCAGGAAGGCCTGGGGAGGAAGAGGGTCAGAGGGGTCCCCAAGCAAGGCTGACACTCCTTTCATCCCTGCTCTAGAACTCCTGTCCTCCAACCTCGGAGCTCGTGGGTACATCTGACCGGCTCTTCTGGGAACCCATGAAGGTCCATGACATCCGCTGGAACTTTGAGAAGTTCCTGGTGGGGCCAGATGGTATACCCGTCATGCGCTGGCACCACCGGACCACGGTCAGCAACGTTAAGATGGATATCCTGTTATACATGAGGCACCGGCAGGCAGCCTAGGAGGTCAAGAGGAAGCAACTGAAGCCCGTCTCATCCCATGTCCCCCATGTAGGGGAGGGACCTTGTTCAGGAAGGAACCCGTGTCTCCAACCACACTATTTGTCCACCACAGTCCCCTTTCCTATCGCTTAAGGCCCCAGCCAGGCACAAATGGATGCATACAGTTGTATGTCTGTACTGCCAGGCATGTGGGTGTGTGTGCATGTGGGTATTCACTCGCCTACCGGCATGCATGACCGTGTATTGTGTGCATGGGTGTAGGGCCGCATGTCTACCTGTATGTCTATCTGGGAGTGTATGTCCATCTGTGTGCCTGCAGCTGTGTGCTGTGCAGTGCTGGAGAATAACACCCCTTTCTCTCCAGTTCTCCATTCCAATGATGATAGTTCACTTACACCTAAACCCAAAGGAAAAACCAGCTCTAGGTCCAATTGTTCTGCTCTGAGACCTCAACCTTGGGGCCAGCATCTCCCACTGCCTCCAAATATTAGTAACTACCACTGACATCCCCAGAAGTTTCTGGGTCTACCACACTGCCCAGACGCCCCTCCTCCTTCCTGAAGGGCCCTCCCAACGCTACATCCCCACCCCACAGTTCTCCCTGAGATCAGCCAAGGCAGATGTGAGAGCGAGGGCGACCTACCGGTATCAGGGGTGGCGTCTTCATGAGGGAGGGGCCCGAAGCCCTTGTGGGCGGACCTCCCCCGAGCCTGTCTATGGGGCCAGCCCTTAGTGCATTCAGGCTAAGCCCCTGGGCAGGGATGCCACCCCCGCTCCTTCAGAGGACGTGCCGTCTCCCCTCACTGGTCCATTGGCATGAGACTCACCCCACCCGCCCAGTAAAAGCCTTTCTGCAGCAGCTGAGCCTATGTGTGTGGAGCTTCTTCACTGGGGGCCACTCCCGCCTGGGTGGGGAGTGAGGAGAAGGCGGGGCAGGGTAAAGTGCGGACGAAAAGAACAGAAACAACAGAAACACTTTTTACAGTGGTGCCAAAGTATTTGCGGTTTTTGCCATATGGCAACATCCAAGGCTACATCCCCACCCCACAGTTCTCCCTGTGACCGGCCAAGGCAGATGTGAGAGCGAGGGCCACGTAGCCCACGCCAGAGGTGGTGTCTTCATGAGGGAATCCCCTCCCCCCACCATCAAAAAGGGGCAAAAAACACATTTACTTTTGCAACAACCTAATAGCTAGTGCAGTAGTGCACCCCCGTAGCCCCAGCTACTTGGGAAGGCTGACATGGGAGGTTCCCTCGACAAGCCCAGGAGTTTGAGGCTATAATGTGCTGTGATTGAGTCTGTGAATAACTCCTGTACTCCAGCCTGGGCAACAGAGTGAGACTGTCTCTTAAAAAAGAGAAAAAAAAAATTAGAAATTAGAGAATGCTTTGCTTTGGGTCGCTGCTTCTTGGCTTCCATCTTGGCCCACTCTGCTTCTCCCACTCAGCATTTGGAGTTTATAAAACCAGTTCTTACCTACTTTCATTCCCTCCCACAGTTCTCCAACTCAGCTAAGGTTAAGACGAGGTATTCTGTTTGACAGATGAGGAAACTGAGGCTCACAGAAGGGCCAGGCCTTGCCCCAGGTCTCCTGATGAGTGAGGGGTAGGACCAGAATTTAAACCCAAGTCCCCTGAGTCCTGGCCTGCCCCACCCTCAGGAAGGCCCTGTATGTCACCATTCCCCAAGAGTCATAGTGACCCTCTCAGGGAAAGGTGGGAAAGGGGACTAGGAGGAAGGATCAGGAAAGCAGGGGGTTGACAGAAGAACATTAGTCAGGGCATAAAAGAACACAAGTCACAGAATGTTGATCTTCAACTTGGATTTATGTCCATGATTCGTGCAAATAGCTATCCAGGAATGGACAGCCACCCTAATCCGGGCTTCTGGCACCACAGGCCTCCAGCTGCAGGGTCAAGGGTCTGAACCTCAGAGCCTGGCAGCTTCAGGCTGGGGCCCCTCAGCAGACGTGGCTGGCATGGCCTTCTCCCATCTGTGATGGCTTCAGCGAGGCTACGGTGAGTGGAGGTGGAGAGGGCCCCAGAGCCAGAACATCCGTCGTTTTCTTCTGCTCCGGAGACAAACCCACACTTCTCACGGCTCGTCGCAGAGGGGTAGGGCTGTGCGTGGGACAGTCCTGCTACAGAGCTTGAAGCAAAAAATAAACACACACACAAATTGGTCACGGCACCCAGAGGGCCTGAAGCCACTTCTGTGATGTTGTGAAGGAAGGGGGTCTTGGCTGCACCCCACTCTTAGGATTGCTGCTCCTGGAGGCTTCTGCAATGGATGGCAGGTCAAAGCTGGATGAGGTCTCTCTTCACTCAGGAGCAGGGTAGTGAGTTTTTCCCAGTCACTCCCAGCAGAGTGCGAATGAAAGCCTTCTGGGTGGAGCCTCCCTAGTCTTGTAAACAGCTCAGTTCAGGGACTGGGGTACAAGCTGGCCACCCATCTCAGCCTCTCATCCAGTTGAGGCTCTGGCCACATTGTGCACGTGACTTCTAGTTTTTCGGCCATCTGAGGTCAGCTGGCTCTGCAAGATGAAGGTGGAGCCAAATGACACAATCTGGTCTCACTGAGGCCCCTCACGGTCATTTTTTGCAGACTCTAAATAAATAAAAATTTTGAGGACTTCATGATGATATGATAGACTGAGTTTCAAAGTCTCTTACAGAATGCAATACAGGAACAGTGAAAATAACAGCTAGGGTTCCTGGGTGCTACCAAGTGCCAGGGCTAAGTACCTTAGGTACACTGGTCATGCAATCTTCACCCAGCCCTACAAAGAAGGCAGATTATTATCCCCCTGTAAAAGAGGGAACTGGGACGCTAAGAGGTTTTAAAATGACTTGCCCGTAGTTCCAGATCCAGGAAGCAGTGGTGCTAGGATTTGAACCCAACATTGCTCCAGACCCTAGAAGTGGAGCAGTTCTGGGGAGGGAGCCCCTCCCATTAAACCACCCTCTACCACTCAAGGGGCTCCAGTGACCTTGTAGGGATCTTCAGCGAACCACAGAAAATGACTGAGCAGTCCAATCCCTTCTTCCAATCACCAAATCCTCCAAACCACACTCCCATGGCCTGTCCTCACACACCTTCTGCGAAGGGACACTCACTACCTCCGGCAGAGCTGGCTCCATTTTCGCACAACTGTGTCCCTTGGAAAGTTCCTCTTCATGTTGCGATGGACCTGCCCTCCCTGTCATTCCCACCCACCAGTTCTAATTCTGTTCCCAGAAGTCCCACAGGCGAGGTGGTGCCTTCTGCCCTGCAAGAGCTCTGCAGGGAGCCGTAGCAGTCGCTAAGGTCCCAGACTTTTGACTAGTGGACACAGCTCCAGGCCCTTCAGGCTTTCCGGGTGGACATCATGTCCAGAGGGAGCTTCTCAAACAGAAATATGGTCATGCCGCTCTGCTTTAAAAATGTCCCATCACTACTCATTATGCTGAGGATGAGACGCAGGCCTCCCGCCACACTCTGCAGGCCTGCCACATCCCTAACCCCCACACTGCCCCTCTCTTTCCCCACCTTGTTCTTGGCTCCAGCCACACTGGTCTTCCCTCAGATCCTCAGATCGGCTACCCTTCTTCCGCCTCCTCCCACCAAGGCCTCTGCATTTGTCATGTTCTCTGAAAGGCATCCTTCTCCCCTACCTTTCCACCTAGCTAGTGCCACTCATTCTGAGAGTCTCAACTCAAATGCTGCCACCTACGGAAAGCTCTCCTAAGCCCCCAGTCTAGGTCGGCGTCTTCTGCCATCTGCTCCCACAGAAACCTGCTCTTCTTCCTTGAGGGCACGTGAGTGCAGCCTGCCCGTGTGGTGTTTATTCATTTCTGCCTCCCTCACTAGACATTATGCTGTATAAGGGCAAGGACCATGTCTGCTTCTGTTCTCTTGGCATCCACAGCACCTAGTGCAATGCCCGGCATTTAGAGGATGCGCTAGAATGAAGTTTCAACCCCGCTCACCCTGCAGCTGTCATCACTCTCCTTTCAACACTGTTTTGGAAAGCCGGACCTCTCCTCCACCGAGATCAGAAAGTAGCAACATCATCCCCAGACTCAGTCAATGCTGGCAGATGCGAAGGTGTCTCCCCCAGGGAGGAACGAGACTTAGTACTAGGGGCTCACCTGGTTCTGCAGGCCTGGCTGTGGGAGGGTCCATCGCTTGCGAGCTCTGATTTGGATTTCGAATCCCTCCACAAGGTAGACGCCAGGTGTATTCCGGCTGTGACAAAACTGGTACTTAATCATCAATAACCACACCCCAAAATTACAATTGCACCTACTGTACCAGGACAATACTAAAACTGTATTAGTCAAGTATAATTGAATCTTTACGACAACCCAGGCTGTCACTCCCGTTTCACAGGTAAGGAATCTGAGGCTCAGAGAGGATAAGTAATTGCTGAAGGTATCCAGCAAGGAGAATGGCCAGACTTGGATTCGAACCCAGGTCTTTGTAAATCCAGAGCCAATTTCTTAACTATACTATCCCCTGGTGTTTAAAGATGTCTACCAAGAATGGTCATATGGAAGAAGCTGAAAAAGAGGCCAGGCAGGAGGCTTCTGTAATGGTCCAGGGGAGAGCTGGGATGCCTCAGGTGGGGCTGTGGCAGAGGACTGGAGAAAAGGGGACAAGTGACAGCAGATATTTGGAGGAAGAATGGTAAGAAGGGAAAAGAGGCCAGGTGCAGTGGCTCACACCTGTAATCCCAGCACTTTGGGAGGCCAAGGTGGGTGGATCACCTGAGGTCAGGAGTTCAAGACCAGCCTGGCCAACATGGTGAAACCCTGCCTCTACTAAAAATACAAAATTATCCAGGTGTGGTGGCGCATGCCTGTAATCCCAGCTACTCAGGAGGCTGAGGCAGGAGAATCACTTGAACTCAGGAGGCAGAGGTTGCAATGAGCCGAGATCGCGTCACTGCATTCCAGTCTGGGCAAAGACAGTGAAAATCCATCTCAAAAAAAAGAAAAAAGGAGAAGGGAAAAGAAAATAAAAGAGGGGGGGAGGGGAGGAGAGGGGAGGGGGGAGGGGGGAAGGGGAAGGGAGGGGGAGAGGAGGGGAGGGGAGGGGAGGGGGGGGAGGGAAAGGAAGGAAAGGGAAGGGGAGGGAAGGGAAGGGAAAGGAAGGGAAAGAAACATGGTGTGAGGTTCTGATATCCCTGGCCTGGGGCCTGCAGGGAGTGCCCCTTCCCACCCTGCACTCTTACTCAGACTTCTCCATCCTAGACCAGTGACCCCAAACAGCTGTGGAGCAGCCCTACAGGATCGTGGCCAGATCCCTGCCCCTGGGTAACAGGCCGGAGCCAGGCCCTGGACACCCACCTGCCACCACAGTGCTGTTTAGTTCAGAAGGATACAGTTTCTGACCCCCTCACTTAACTTTCCTCTCTGGAAGGTGTCTGGGGCAGCCTCTGTGTGTGCCCTTAAGGGAGGGACACAGACTCACCAGATGGAAGAGGCGCGAATTGGGGAGTGGGGGCGGGTGCTCCATGGCCATAGGGGGAGGGGGGTAGCGGATCTGGGACCAATCCTCGAAGCCGTGGTGTGGTACCATGGCTGGCATGGGCGGGTAGGCGTAAGGGTAGGCACCGCAGAGGTGTTCCGGGTGGGGCTCCACATGGTAGCGCTCTCCAGAGGCCTGCAAGAAACGCTCACGTCTGGCTTTGGCCTGCAACAGGCTGCACGGGACACCCATCCCATCTCCTTTCTCTAGAATGTTGGCTCTCTGAAGGCTAGTAGGCTGGGTACCAAAGGCTGGTACATTGTCATGAAAGACTGCTACATGGGTACAGAAATCTGGATACATGGGCACAGGAGGCTGGATATGTGAGCATGGAAGGCTGCATGAGCATGGAAGGCTGGGTACATATGCATGGAAGGTTGTCACGCGGGCACAGAAGACTGGTACATGGACATGGAAGACTGGTACACAAGCACAGAAAGCTAGTACATGGGCACGGAAGGCTGGTTACATGGGCACGGAAGGCTGGGCACGTGGGCACAGAAGCCTGGTTACATGGGCACGGAAGGCTGGGCACATGGGCATGGAAGGCTGGGTACACAGACACAGAAGGCTGGGCACATGGGCACGGAAGGCTGGGAACACAGACACGGAAGGCTGGGCACATGGGCATGGAAGGCGGGTACATGAGCATGGATGGCTAGGCACATGGGCACGGAAGGCTGGGAACACAGACACAGAAGGCTGGGCACATAGGCACGGAAGGCTGGGCACAGGGGCACGGAAGGCTGGGAACACAGACACGGAAGGCTGGGCACATGGGCATGGAAGGCGGGTACATAAGCACGGAAGGCTGGCACATGGGCACGGAAGGCTGGTTACATGGGTACGGAAGGCTGGTTACATGGGCACAGAAGGCTGGGCACATAGACATGGAAGCCTAGGCACACGGGCACGGAAGGCTGGGAACACAGACACGGAAGGCTGGGCACATGGGCACGGAATGTGGGTACATGAGCATGGAAGACTGGCACATGGGCACAGAAGGCTGGTACACAGGCACAGAAAGTTAGTACATGGGCACAGAAGCCTGGTTACATGAGCACGGAAGGCTGGGCACATGGGCATGGAAGGCTGGGAACACAGACACGGAAGGCTGGGCACATGGGCGTGGAAGGTGGGTACATGAGCACGGAAGGCTGGCACATGGGCATGGAAGTCTGGGTACATGGGCACGGAAGGCTGGTTACATGGGCACGGAAGGCTGGGCACATAGACATGGAAAGCTAGGCACATGGGCACGGAAGGCTAGGAACATAGACACAGAAGGCTGGGCACATGGGCACAGAAGGCTGGGCACATGGGCACGGAATGTGGGTACATGAGCACGGAAGGCTAGCACATGGGCACGGAAGGCTGGGTACGTGGGCATGGAAGGTTGGGTACATGAGGATGGAAGGCTGGTACATGGACACGGAAGGCTCATACACGGGCAGAGATGGCTAGTCACATGGGCACGGAAGGGTGCTACCTGGACACGATATCAACAGTGATGACAGCTAATGCATTGTGAACACTGCCTCCGTACCGAATCTGCTCTAAGACTTCTCCTGTACAACTCCTCAGTTACCTGGCAGACAATGTCCCAGCCCGAGCGCACACCGTGTCCATCAGGCTAGCTCCCTGAGGAAGGTAAGATGATGTCAGTGCGGCCACCTCCCTCAAGCCTCCTCACCTTTGCTTTCCTCTTCTGCTGTCTGAGGGCTTCTCTTGCCTTCTCCTCATCTTTGAACGCTTTTAGCTGAGAGAAGCGGGAGGGAGAGAAGACTGTCAGCACAGATGGTTTCCGGCCAGGGCCTAAGCAGCCGAGAGGGCTGACTGGCTGATGCTTCCCTCTGGGCCACCATGCCTGGGCTGGCCCCGGGGAAGGGCCCTGAGGGCCAGGCACAGCCCAGGGTGCTGCTACAGGCCACCCACACGTCACAGTGGTCTGTGTACAGGTCAAGAGGGTTTACGTGACCCTCGCTCCTTCTGTGCTAACACCTTTCAGTTCCACTCTGTGAGAGTAGAGCCCCAGAAGTGACTGGAAAGTCAGAGGCAGAGGAATCTTACAGTAAACCTCGTCACTGTACAAAGAGTCAGAGAAGGAAAGGGCCTTGCTGAGGTCAAATCTGACCGCAGAGCTGGAGAGAACAGTGAGTGTGCTGACGTCCAGCCTCACCAGGGCCCTCCAATCCACACCCCCTCTCCCCAAGAGGACAGACCAGTTGCCCTTCCTGGGTCCAGCCACTCTCACCTGGGCATTCGACAGGGTGACCTGGGCCTGCAGCTTCTCCACTTGCTTCTTCAGCTCCTCCTTCTCCTCATTCATGCGCTCACGGTCGCTGCGCTCCCTCTGGAAGTCCTCCTCAAAGATCTTCACCTGGTGTGGAGGGAGGGTGAAGAGAGGGAGGGTGACCATTCTGAGCAGGGGTTCCCACCTCCTCAGGCCCGGACTCCCATGCCTCCTGCTGGGAGGTCACAGAGGGCAGAGCTGGGGGTCGCCATGGGGAGTGGGAAAGGTGCGCTTCCAGCCCCCCCGCAACTTCAAACAGAGTAGTTCTGTGTCCTTCTATCTTACATTCTGGACCTCAAAGTAGGACTTTATTTGAACAAAGGATCTATGGATTTTTTTTTTTTTTTTTTTTTTTTTTTTTTGAGATGGAGTCTTGCTCTGTCGCCAGGCTGGAGCACAGTGGCGCAGTCTCGGCTCACTGCAACCTCCGCCTTCCAGGTTCAAGCGATTCTTCCGCCTCAGCCTCCCGAGTAGCTGGGACTATAGGCCTGTGCCAAACACCCGGCTAATTTTTGTAATTTTAGTAGAGACGGGGGTTTCACCATGTTGGCCAGGATGGTCTCAATCTCTTGACCTTGTGATCCACCCACCTCGGCCTCCTAAAGTGCTGGGATTACAGGAGTGAGCCACTGCGCCCAGTCGGATCTATGGCTTTTTAAAAAAAGATTGGAAGCTACCAACCAGTGCAATCCTTTCACTCCACTGAGACCCACAGGGACAGTGACCACAGAACCAGAGACTGGAGTCTCAATCTGCTGGTTCTGAGAACAGACACCCTACAAACTCTGCTAGGTGGGCTGTGTGGGGGCTGCCTCTGTCTCTTAGCCTGTAGCGCAGATCAGCCGAGACACTGGCTAGGTTCAAGATGGTTTAGGAGAATCAAAAGCACAGGATTAAATAGCATAGAGACAGGGGTGGAGCCGTCACTTTTCATTTCCTTTCAACCCAATCCTTCTGTGTCCCGCGGGGTTAGCAGGTCTTCAATACCTTTCTAGTATTCAATCTCCTTTAAATGAAGGGGAAAAGAACTCTAGATCAGAGCCTTCATCTGGCAAGAGTAACTGGCTGGAGTTTAATAACATTGTTTTGTTTTTATTGTGTTTATTGCTTACAGATACTTTCTACTTGTGACAAATAATAAATGGGGTTTTCCATTTACGGTAGTGATATAAAGCTCCCTTTTAAATTCACTTATTTAGAGTTTAGTTTTTAATACTAGGTAAATAATAGCACAGGTAGGGCACAGAGATGGCTAAATCGTAAAGTGGTAGAGGAATCACTTAAGCTAGGGTTATGGTGCTGGAGAGGATAAACCTAGAGCCAGATGGGGGCCGTGGCCAATGGCCAGAAAGTAGATTACTAATTACAGGTTCCATGTGATTCCAAGCCGTCCGGGCCCTCAGGAAAGCTCCAGTTCCCACTGAGCACCTCCCACCTGACTTTGTCCCAGAGGCCTCACCTGCTGTTTCAGCAACTCGTTCTGTGTGACCAGCTCCTGTTTCCTTAGGAGGCCCCCTGCTCCTTCTGGGCTCCCAAATGCTGTTGGTGGAGATGATGGGGGGGCTTGGATACTCAGTGCCTCCTCCAGAGCCTGGAATCAGGGAGAGAAAAGACAGGACCATCAGCAGGAACACCAGGAAATCAGGCCCCTTTGGGGGGGTCATCCCCAGGGACCTTCTTCCTAATCATGATACTACTATAGCCATCACCAGCAGTGCTATTTAATAAACACTACCCTATTTATTAGCATTCTACATGTATCATTTCATTGAATCTTCTGCACAGTGCCATGAAGAAAAGATTCTGATCATCATCCTCATTTTACAAATGTGAGAACTGAGGCTCAGAGACCTGAAGGGACTTGTCCGAGGTCAAACAGCTAGTAAGCGGTAGAGCAGGGACTCAAGCGCAGCCTATGCTCTTACCCAGCAGGCTACACTGGGGTTGTCATGTGGAAGGGGAAACCTCCCCTGCCCTTAACAGGTGTGGCTCAATTCTTAGCATCCAGACCTAGAAGGAACATTAAGTCCTCCGGCAGAAGCTTCAGTCTCCACAACAACTGCCCTGCTCTGAGATTCTTCAGCGTCAGCGACTCATTCCCATCCAAACCACCCCTTCCATCCTCAACTCTTCTGTAGAAAGAGTAGACTGGATTTAATTTCTACTTAGTTAATATTTTCCCTTTCTAACCCTAAAAATGGGCTGAAATATCACCAAATAACTTTTTGAAAATAAAAAAAGTACTTTTTTTTTTTTTTGAGACAGAGTTTTGCTCTTGTTACCCAGACTGGAGTGCAATGGCGCGATCTCGGCTCACCACAACCTCCGCCTCCTGGGTTCAGGCAATTCTCCTGCCTCCGCCTCCTGAGTAGCTGGGATTACAGGCATATGCCACCATGCCCAGCTAATTCTTTTGTATTTTTAGTAGAGACGGGGTTTCACCATGTTGACCAGGATGGTCTCGATCTCTTGACCTCGTGATCCACCTATCTCGGCCTCCCAAAGTGCTGGGATTACAAGCTTGAGCCACTGCGCCCGGCAAAAAAAGTACTCTTAATCTATCATGTTCAGAAAATACTTTTCTTTATGTGAGTAGTGTGCTCACATCTTCTCAAAGCTTTCTGATAACTGTGTTTCCCCTTTAACTCTGTTAGCACATTACTCAGAAGCCTGGAACATCTCTGAAGACTGTTCACCCTGGACTTATCACCACTTGGACTTCAGCCCCAGGAAGCTGGGCCTCCCCTCACATGCCTGGGCATCGCTCATGAGCTTTCCTGAACCGTGGGGAGACAGAGACCTGGCCCAACTTGGACTCAGGCTTCCATCTGGTCTCCTTAGCTTCCCTAGACACAAAGAAACTGTAGGACCAAGAGAAAGTTCAGGAAGCTCTGAGGGGAAGTTAGGGCTCCACTTTATCTTCCTAGTCCACCCTACTTTTTTTTTTTTTTTTTGGAGATGGAGTGTCGCTCTTGTTGCCCAGGCTGGAGTGCAATGGTGCAATCTCGGCTCACCACAACCTCCACCTCCCGGGTTCAAGCGATTCTCCTGCCTCAGCCTCTCAAGTAGCTGGGATTACAGGTATATGCCACCACGCCTGGCTAATTTTGTATTTTTAGTAGAGACAGGGCTTCTCCATGTTGGTCAGGCTGGTCTTGAATTCCTGAGGTCAGGTGATCCGCCCACCTCAGCCTCCCAAAGTGCTGGGATTGCAGATGTGAGCCACTGCACCTGGCCTCCACCCCACTTTTTAGATGAAAAGACTGAGGTCTTGGGACAGGGAAACTGCCAAGGTCATCTTTCTGATTAGCAGCGTGAACAAGTCTCTGCCTGGATTTAGGGCCCCAAGTCCCCCAGCTCGGGACAGATCATTTCTTTCTCTGGCAACAGGTCAGGAACCCCAGACTTGGCATAATCAGTGTTTACAAAACACCAAAATCTAAAAGAAAGGGTTTCCCCAGCAGGCGTAGGAATGCTGAACTCATGCCAGAGTTCACTGTGACCAGGGTCAGGAGGCAGAGGGAAAGGAAAAACAATTAGCAAGAAAGGAAAAACAGAGCCATGAACTTAACTCCTGAGGCCCTCGAGAATGTTTCCTTTCAAAGCTCCCTCCTGTCAGCTTGCATCTTTGAAACCCTACTGGAAGGTAGGCAGTGCTAGAACTCAGATGGCAAAACTGAGGATCAGGGCTCAGACGGCAAAACTGAGCTGGAGAGGCTGGAGAGGCTAAGCTGGGACTAGACCACTCTGCTTGGCTCAGATCAGAGGGTTTCTGCTTTCCCCAGCCTCCACTCTGGGGGCCCCATCTCCCTGAATCCCACTGCACAAGGGCAGAGCCCTCAGCCTGTGCCCCCCTCCCACTCCCTTCAGTGTTTCCTGAACACGTGCTCAGTGCCAGGCGCTGTGCAAGGAGCCAAGGGCAGACACCTTGGTGAAGGTGTGCACCTCCCACTGCCAGGTGGGAAGACAGAATTAAGTAAGTGATGATGAGCCGGGAGAAGGGGTGTGAGAGAAGTTGCTGGTACCTTAGGAGCATAGACCAGGGCAACCTGAATGAGACTTGGGGAAGGTTTTGCTGAGCAAGTGAGGGTAAAGTGAATCCTGACAAGCAGGGTGGGCAGGTGAGGCGTAAAGGGAAGCATGCACCTCCAGAGGGAAGGGCGACACAGGCTCATCCAAGGGCTGGGTCACTCGGGCTGTGGGAGGCCATGGCAGAGCAGGTGGGAAGCAGGACGCCAGCTGGCTGTCTGGGGGTTACCCTTCCTGAGCTGAAGGGCTGGGGCGCCAGTGACGGGGTAGGCATTGCAGCTGGACTCAAGGGAGCCCTGCGCAGCCAAGGGACCCGGGCCGAGGCGCCCACCTTGTTGAGCCGCTGGATCTCTTTTTCCTGGTACTCGCGCTGCCGAGTGAGCGGGCTCAGCTGATCCTGTAGGTACTTGACCTTTTGGCGCAGCTCCTTGGCCTCTGCTGTCAGCTGTTCCTTGTCGGTCTGCAGGGAACATGGGGTTGGTAAGCGGGCAGGGGTGGCCTCTCCAGGAGGCTTCGGACTCCCTGTCCTGCCTGGCCCAGCCTTTACCGGTGCCATCCTTTCTCCCTTGACCATCACTCCACAATGCTCACATGCAAGGCACCTGGGGTTGGCGCGGTAATGTCCACATCGTCCTGCCCTCAATTAGTATGTGTCAATTTAAAATAATAACTAAAAGCAGAAAAAGCAGAAGCTCAGTTGAGTAAAAGACCTTGGATTCCGACACCAGTTCATCCACAAGCAGCTGAGATCCCAGGCACTGCCACTGCCCTCTCTTGTCTAAGCTTACCTACCTGTCACAGGTGCAGGGTTCCTAACACGAGTCACAGAGAGGCCTCTGGAGGGCGGTGAGCCCCAAAACTGAATGCAAAATTTTGTCTGTGTGTAATGTGCTCGAAAGAAAAGCGAAAGTTCTGATCAGATTCATGTGGGGGTCTTCTGTGAGCCACAGAAAGAGATGAACTACTGATAATCCCTAACAGACACTTCAGCTCGTACGGCCTCGGAGCCTAGAAGAGAGACAATACTGCCAGAGAGAAATGTGGCAGAAGGCAGTGAGTGCTCCTCCAGAAAAGAACAAAGTACTGTGGGACTAAAAGAAAGATCACCACAGCTGAGGGAAGGCTTCCAAGAGGTGGTTCCATAGGGGCTTCGTCACAGCCAAGGGATGGCCTTTAGACAGCATCAGGCCCCAGCCCTGCAATATGTTAAGCAACAAAGGTCCAGATGCGGGAAGGGGCATACTCGAGGCCCCGTGGTGAGCTGGGGCTAGAACCCAGGTTTCCTGTTCCCTTGCTCTCTCCCCTACCATGAACGTCAAAGGATGTATTTAAACTACAGGACGGCAGCACAGTGCCGTGGAAAGACCAGGCACAGCCCCAAATAAACAATATATTCCTACGTGTACATATGTGGGAGAATGGCCTGGAAACAGAGGCACCAAAATGGTGACAGTGGTTCCCTCTGCGGAGGGCCTGGAATCACGGCGGGGGGAGGTGGTCCAAGGGAACTTTCACTTTGTAGTGTGTGGACATTTCGTAACTGTGTATTCACAGCATGTGATTAGGAGATCAGCTGCAGCGGTTACTTTTCACCAGCCCTTGTGTGATCTTTAGTATTCTACCAACCACCTTGTGAGCTGTTTCCATCCAGAGACTGATTGCAGAGGGCAGCCTTGGTCAGAACTCCGTGGGAGTTGTTCCGGACTCCCTGCCAACAGGCTCCCGGATGGGCATGGCCTTTTCCGAAATGTGTACTTATCTACAGGGCCACCCCCTGTCACGAAACGTCCTGTCTTCCCTGAAGCTGATAGGGAAAAGTGCCCTCAGTTTCCAGGGATTTGTCTTACCTACCACTGTGAGCAAGGGGGAGGGGCCAAAGAGCCAGGACGTCTGGCCGAGAGTAACCAGATGTGATTGTGCACTCATAAGGAAAGACAGAAGTGTCCTTCCTACACAGCTCCAAGTTAAGGGGGTGTCACAGATGCAGGCTGACTGCTAAGATAAGGCTCCTACTGTCCCATGCTGATGGGACAATCTGTGTTGGAAATATCCATTTTTAAGCTAGGCAAAAGACCATGCCCAGTTCCTATGGAGAGAAAAACACAGTGACATAAATAAAATCTCCCGAGATTCCAGCAGTCAAGTAGCCTTTCCTCTTTAAGCTGCTCCAAAGTCCTGAGGGGCCCTGGCTGGTGTCAGCCATACATATGACTGGGCAGATACTACTATTTCAGGGGACCTGCTGTTTCCCTGCAAGAAAAAATCTAGTCCCCCTTATGCCCACTCTCTGATCTCTGAAACTTCTTCTTTGTAATACTTCTTTTTCCCCTTAGACAAGGTCTCATTCTGTCACCCAGGCTGGAGTGCAGTGGTGCGATCCCAGCTCACTGCAACCTCCGCCTTCCGAGTTCAAGCGATTCCCATGCCTCAGCCTCCTGAGTAGCTGGGACTATAGGTATGAGCCACCACGCCTGGCTAATTTTTCTATTTTTAGTAGAGACAGAGTTTCACCATGTTAGCCAGGCTGGTCTTGAACTCCTGACCTCAAGTGATCCACCCGCCTTGGCCTCCCAAAATGGTGGGATTACAGGCATGAGCCACTGTAATGCCTGGCCATACTTTATTCTTTTAAAGAAATAGGGTCTCACTCTGTTGTCCAGCCTGGAGTGCAGTGGCACAACCACAGCTCACTGCAGCTCAAGCAATCCTCCCATCTCAGCCTGAGCAGCTAGGTCTATAGGTGCATGGTACTACACCGAACTAATTTTTTAAATTTTGTACAGACAAGGTCTTGCTATGTCACCAAGGTTGGTCTTGAACTCCTGGCTTCAAGCAATCCTCCCGCCTCGGCCTCCCAAAGTGTCATGATCACTGGCACAAGCCATCACACCTGGCCTTCTTTGCAATACTTAACATGGTTTCACTTATTTGCTTCTTTAATTAGTTGTCTGGCACCTCTTCCCCCACAAAGGCGGGGCTTTTCCCCTGGACTCTATGTCCAACACAGTGCCTGGGGTAGGATCTGAGGACAAACGCCTGGAAGAATGGATAGGTGGAGCTCTATCTCATGCTGTAGCCCCTCCCTCACAAATCGCCATCACTATGCTGAACAATTAGCAGCGTCCCACCCCACCAAGTGCCACAGAGCAGGCCTGCTAGGATTTGTTTTTTTTTTTTTTTTTTTTTGAGACAAAGTTTCACTCTTGTTGCCCAGGCTGGAGTGCGATGGTGCAATCTCGACTCACTGCAACCTCTGCCTCCCAGGTTCAAGCAATTCTCCTGCCTCAGCTACCGGAGTAGCTGGGATTACAGGCACCTGCCGCCACAGCTGGCTAATTTTTGTATTTTTAGTAGAAACAGGGTTTCATCATGTTGGCCACACTGATCTCAAATTCTGTTTGAGAGCAGGCCCTAAGCCTGGTATAAACAGGCCTTAAAGAAACTGGCCGTAAACAGAATATCTACAGTACTGAGACATCCTCGTGATGGCAGTGACGCACATTGCTAGAGGTTGTTTACTGGAGCCGGGGAAAGACCTAACCTGCCCTTGGGTGGAAGACCGCTGGCGGGGGAAGGGGGGGGCTTCTGAACCATACACAATAGCATGAGCGACAAGTGCCTTAGACACGTTCCAGCTGCGGTAGATAAAGGGCGAGAGCCTGTTTCTTGCCACTGAAGAATGCTTTGTTCCCTGCAAGAATGCTTTCAGTTAAATGATGATTATCACTTGCTGGCTGTCAATAAATGTGTGGGTCAAACTCTGTTCAAGGCTCTCAGCTGGGAATGCCGAGGCCTCGTCTGTCCCATACCTTTTTGCTCTCTATCTGTCTGTTTCTTAATTCCTGCAGCGCCGCCTGGGTTGGGGTCTCTACAACCGAGCTGGTCTCAGTACTGGGATTACAGGTGTGAGCCATCATGCCCGGCTACCTGGTTGGATCTTCTATACTGTGTGCTTCCCTGTACAATTCCCCAGTCCCTACGATTTTAATGGAACACAAAGTTCTGAATCCAAACAAGAAAATGTGAAAAGCTGTAGTTACTGGAACCTTCTCAATTTTCAGACAGGAAACTGCAGCACAGAGAAGGAAAGAGGCTGTGTTTTCGATCACACAGCTCTTTGGCACTAGACCCCCGGATCTCTTGACTCCTGCCTCTGGCTTGTTTGTTTCACTGAATTCTGCTAATGTGGAGGGGAGCTGATTCTGCAGGGACCAGCGGCCACACTTGCCTCCTCCATTTCAATCTTGGACTTGGCCAGAAGGAGCTTGCGGTCAAAGTCACGCTGCTTCTGCTCCCGCTCGGCCTCCAGGTCAGTCACCTGCTTCTGCAGGTCAGCCAGCTTCTGGCGCAGCTCAGTGATCTGGGTTCAGAGGCAGAGAGGGTGTGTGAGTCATGGATGCAGAGCGCTTCCGGGGTGTGGGCAGGGCCTGGCTGCCCCAACTTCTCCTCTGAGCCATACTGGGGTGCGGCACAGCCACTCCCCAAGGTTCAAAGCTGCTAAAAAGGCAGCGAGATGAAGACCAGGCATGCCCTGTGGGCGCGGCCAGGAACCCCACATTACCTTCTGCTCGTACTGCTGCTTCATAGACCGGAAATGCTGGTCCCACTGCTTGTTCACTTCGAGCAGCTGTGGGGAGAGACTGGAGTTAGCGGGAGATGAGCACAGAAGGAACAAGGAACGCCAACTCCTGCCCCATGTACGCCGGCATCCTAAGGTGCACTGTGTGTGCGAATAGCTGCTACAGACACTGTCTCCATCCCTCACTCTCGAAAACTCAGTGTTGCTCAAAAGCCATTCACCTTTATCAACTGCTGCATTTTACCTTGCCAGGAAAGCAAGAGCAAGATTAACACTAAGATATGGAAACTACATCATTTCAGCGAATAATTAAGCAACACACACACCTCTTTGGAGAACAGTCTGGGATTATGTATTGAAATTTCATATTGTCATCATCTTTAACCCAATAACTGCACTCTGAAAAATTTAACCAACAGAAGCACTTACACAAGTGTGCAAAAATATACATCAAGGCTAATCATCTCAGCAATATCTGTATTACAAAAAAATTCCAGAGGCCAATCTAAGCACAGGAGATGGGTTAAGTAAACGATAGTTTAAACAGACAATGTGCAGCTATTAAGAAAACAAGGAAATAGGCAGCCAGGTGCAGTGGCTCATGGCTATAATCCCAGCACTCTGGGAGGCCAAGGTGGGCCAACTGCTTGAGTCCAGGAGTTCGAGACCAGCCTGGAGAATATGGCAAAACCCCATCTCTACAAAAATACAAAAATTAGCCAGGCATGGTGACATGTACCTATAGTCCCAACTACTCAGGAGGCTGAGGGGGCAGGATCACCTGAACTTAGGAGGTGGAGGTTGCAGTGAGTTGAGATTATGCCACTGCACTCCAGCCTGAGCAACTAAAGTGAGACCCTGTCTAAAAAAATTAAAAAAAAAAAAAAAAAAAAAAAAAAAAAGACAAAAGAAAAAGAAAATAAGGCATCCACCACACTTCCTCAGTTCTAAAATGACACCATCCACCATACTCTTGATGTAACAATTCCTCAGGGAAGAAAAACAACCCTACATCATCAACTAAATAAAACAAAAGGAGGAGGTATATCCCAATGTTGGGACTCAAAAAATGACACCCCCAAAGTGAAGGCCTAGAAGCAAAATTTTTCACTGACCTTCTGCTTCTATCTTTCATCCCTCCTTCTCCCCCCGTAACCAGAGAAACTAGAATTCCTCTTCCCCAACATGCACAGAAACCAGAACCCCACTCCCCCAAAGCCAACCATCAAACCTAAAAATATTACTCTAACCTCTCTCGTCTGTGAGTGTCAGAGCTGGCCATAAAGAAATTCTCTGACCTACTCTGTCTAATACTAGGTCATAAAATCCTGGGGCCAGAGGGTGTCTTGTCCTATACCTGGGTGGAAGGAATACCATGCAGAGAGGTCAAGAAGAATCCAGACAGGCAGACAGGCCTTCCTGGTTTCCCCATTCAGACTATTATCAGCAGATTATTCCCTTCTATCCAATCACCTTTCTACACACTGTCCACGCTTCATCCAATCTAAAGCACAAAAATGGACGGTTTTCCCTGTACCTCTGGGCCTTCATGCTGACGGTTCCCATACCATGTAAACTTTGATTAGATAAATCTGTTATGCTTTTCTCTTGTTAAAGTGTCTTTTGTTATGGGAATATTGGCCCTGACTCTTAAATGATGTGTCATAAGGATTCATACCAATTTCAAAAACATTGTATATGATAAAAAGTTACTAAGAATTGAAGGAACATAGTATATCTTATAGATATGAATAGAGATCCTTAAAGACAGTTAATACTTTTTTTTTTTTTTTTTTTTGGAGGCAGGCTCAGGCCAGAATGCAGTGGTGTGATCATGGCTCACTGCAGTTCTTCTGAGGTCAAGTGATCCTCCCACCTCAGCCTCCCAAGTACCCGGGACTACAACTGTGTACTACCACACCCAGCTAATTTATTTTTTATAGAGACAGGGTTTTGTTATGTTGCCTGGGCTGGTCTCAAACTCCTGGATGCAAGTGATCTTCCTGTATCAGCCTCCCAAAGTGCTGGGATTACAGGCATGAGCCACCATGCCTGACCCAGTTAATTTTTTAAAAAACAAAAGAAAAAATAATCTCTAAAGCAGTGTATGTATACACACACACACACACACACACACACACACACACCACACACACACACACACACACACACACACACATATATGTATACTTTTATTTTTCTACTTTGGAAAAAAACAGGATTATGCAATGAACTATAATTAGTTATGGTTTTCACTAGGAGGTGGTATTCTTGATCTTTGTGTGATGAGCATTATATCACTTTTGAAATCAGAAAAAAAAACGCTTATAACAATACAAAAAGAAATAAAACTAATATACACGTAAGAACTAATATGCACATAAAGTTTTTATGCACAAATAAAACTGATATGCACATAAAGCAGCTTTCCAATGTATGGGAGGACGAGGGTGGGCAGGCAGGCTCGGGGTTCTAGAGAAGGACCAGGGCTGTGTAGAGAAGGGCTAGACGGAACAGACAGACCAGTGTCTACCAAAAAGGAGCTGCATGCAGACCCCGGGTCTGAAAAGACTGGACTAGACTGGGGGTGTGAGGCGAGGGAGGAACACACGTGAGATCCACAGGAAAAGGCGCAAGGACGCTGCTGTGTGACTTCTCTCTTGGCAGCAGAGGGAAAAGAAGACTCTCTTACAAACCAGCTCCTGAACCTTAGTAGTGTTGGGGCAGGGGCAGCATTTAAACTACCTAAGGCGCTGGCCATCACCTTAATGAAGTTTAGGAAGCCACCCAGTATTCTGTGGCAGGATTCAGCTGCTGGCTGGTCTTTCTCATTCTTGCCTATGAAAATTCTTGAAATGGGAGGATTCATTTCCCAGAATATCTGAAAAGTAGCTACATGAATAGAGGTAGCTTGTGTTTGTGTGTGTGTGTGTGTGTGTGTGTGTGTGTGTGTGTGTGTGGTGTGGTGTGTGTGTGTGTTTGAGACGGAGTCTTGCTGGAGTGCAGTGGCACAATCTTGGCTCACTGCAATCTCCACCTCCCAGGTTCAAGCAATTCTCCCTGCCTCAGCCTTCTGAGCAACTGGGATTACCGGCATGCACCACTATGCCCAGCTAATTTTTTTGTACTTTTAGTAGAGATGGGGTTTCGCCATATTGGCCAGGTTGGTCCCGAAACCCTGACCTCAGGTGATCCACTGGCCTTGGCCTCCCAATGTGCTGGGATTATAGGCATGAGCCACCACACTCAGCTGTGGTAGATTTTAATGTTAAAAATTTTGACAGTAAATTCATGGATCCTCCAGGCTAGTTGGAAGTGGCCTTAATCCCCTCCTTCCATGATGGGTCCTCCCTAAACCAGCTTTAGAGGGTCCCTCCACTCCCCATCATTGATGCTGAAACTTGCCTAACTTATCACAACCTCTTTCCACCATCCGAGGTCTACCATGGGAGCCTGCCTAAACTCTACCCCCAACAATATTAGGCCATGACCCAAATGCCACTTCCTCAGAGTGACCGCTGTAGACAGAGGGACTGATTGAGAGAGGACAGTACAGGGCAAGGAGGCAGACTTCATCCATGGGCAGATGGGTCCATGGTCACCATGCCACCTCCTCATGGTGACGTGAGGCCTGCATGACCCAGGAGGTCAGAGCAAGCCTTTGTGCTGCTGGCCCTGGGAGGGAGGATCCTCCCACAGCCACCACCACCCCAGCCACATACCTCACTGCGCTGCTGCTCCAGCATCTTCACCTTCTTCTCAGCTGCGCCCAAGGCCCCCACCTCTGGGACCTTACCTGCCGTCACACTAGCCTAGGGAGAAGCACAGAGGGGCGTTCACCAAAACCTCGATACAATTTATCTCACCCACGGAGTACCCTCTGAGGCCCCTCACCCCTGTGGCCTCAGCCCTCTGTCTCCTATCTCCCTACTCCTCCCACCCGCCGGGACACCACTAACCATCCCAGTCATGACTGGTCCCCTTCTGGAAGTCCACAAGACGATGATCCCCCTCCCTGACTCAGAGTGGCTGCTAAGCCCTCTCCCTGCTTAGGCATGACCTCTAAGGTATACCAGCCCCTCTCCTCACCCGCTACATACATCAGCCAAAAAACTCTCTGGCCTGGAAGGTAAGAAATTTGAGACTTAGATATAGATATATTCAGTCCATAAAACATACATGTTTGATAAAACTTTTATAGAAGTTAAAGTTATATGCTTATTTAAAAACATTTTTAGAGAGATGCAGAAATAAAGATCTGAGTATATGCATGATTAGTACAAATAGATATTTCCTATCTCTGTCCTCTGCACGGGGCTAAAGCAGAGTTATCCAGCAGTACTGAGTACACCCAGTGCTCAGCTACTAAATGCCATTTTCTTTTTATTAAAAAGAAACAGGGCCAGGCGCGGTGGCTCAAGCTTGTAATCCCAGCACTTTGGGAGGCCGAGGCGGGTGGATCACGAGGTCGAGAGATCGAGACCATCCTGGTCAACGTGGTGAAACCCCGTCTCTACTAAAAATACAAAAAATTAGCTGGGCATGGTGGCGCGTGCCTGTAATCCCAGCTACTCAGGAGGCTGAGGCAGGAGAATTGCCTGAACCCAGGAGGCGGAGGTTGCGGTGAGCCAAGATCGCGCCATTGCACTCCAGCCTAGGTAACAAGAGCGACACTCTGTCTCAAAAAAAATAAAAATAAAAATAAAAATAAAAAATAAAAAAGAAACAGGGCTGCTTTGAGAAGTGGTTCATTCCAGGTCTAGAACAGATAAAATGGAAGGTGAGCTTGGTGCATCTTACAGTGCCAGAAAGTAAGGCAGTATTCAAATGAATAATAATAACAACAATAGTCATAAAAGGGGCATGTCAAAGGGCACCGGAAACAACCTGAAAAAAACTCTTACGGCCAAAACAGAAACCCTCAGAACAGCAAAATATATCACAACAGTATTGGATTATAAGTCACAGTAGGAAATAAATATTCTCGAGTTCATATTGATAGAACAAAACAGCTGAATAAATAAACAAATTGAGGGAGAAGGGACAGCTCTTCCTTACAAAAGAATTCCGATTAGTAAGTGTAGGAGGAAAGAAGAAAACACTAAATCACCATTAGATTACTCTAGTAATTACTGCTGCAGGTGGAGATCCACCAATGGACCTAAAATTACTGAGTCAAAGTTTAAGAAAAAAGAGTATTTGCATAGTCTCAAAGTTGCTCCTCAAAAATAAACATTTATTAATTACAAAGGGAAAATTGGTCATTTGATTGCAGAGAAACTTGAAAGGCAGCACCTTGACCAAGTGATGAAGGTTAACGGTAGTAAAACGTTGGCATCATGTACCCCTGATATGCTGGCTTGAGAAATGTTCTACACACTTGGACGCACACAGAACGTCACCCGTGTGAGATCCCTGCCAAAACACATAACCTCAATCTCATCCTGAGATCCAATCACTTGGGAGGCATCAATCACGACAGCAAAGAAGCCCAAACTGAAGAACATTCTACAAAATAACTGGCCACTATATAACCCAAAAGAGTCAAGGTCATGAAAAGCAAGGAACAACTAGGAACTGTCACAGACTAGAGGAAAAGAGGGAGAGGAGACAACTGAATGCAATGAAATCTGAATAAAGTCTGTAGTTTACTAAGTAGTACGTCCCCTTAATTCCTAGTTTTGATCATTCAACCATGGTTCTCTAAGATGTTACCATTAGGGGGAGCTAGAGGAGGGGGATAAGGGAACTCTTTGGACTACTTTTGGAACTCTTCTGTAAGTTTAGTTATAGCAAAATAAAAAGGTTTAAAAAAAAAAAAAACCAGCGAGTGCTTGGGTGAAACAGCAGACAAGGCCAGGAGTCCAGAGGGTGTGTGTCGACTCTATCTCTAAGCCCCTCAGTGATGGACGCCAAGACCCTCACCTTCTCTGAGCTTCAGTACAATAAGAAGCTCAAAGAGAAGAGGGTCTCCGCAGGCCCCATCTGGACTTCTGACACTGTCCGCCATCCTGGAGTCAGATTCTCTCTATTTTCAGTGTTCTTTTTTTTTTTTTTTTTTTTTTTTGAGACGGAGTTCGCTCTTGTTGCCCAGGCTGGAGTGCAATGGCGCGATCTCAGCTCACCGCAACCTCCGCCTCCTGGGTTCAGGCAATTCTCCTGCCTCAGCCTCCTGAGTAGCTGGGATTACAGGCACGTGCCACCATGCCTAGCTCATTTTTTGTATTTTTAGTAGAGACAGGGTTTCACCATGTTGACCAGAATGGTCTCGATCTCTTGACCTCGTGATCCACCCGCCTCGGCCTCCCAAAGTGCTGGGATTACAGGCGTGAGCCACCGCGCCCGGCCTTATTCGCAGTGTTCTCTATTCCCTCCTCATCGCACCCCGCAGAGGCTTCAGGTAGGGCTGAAGGCAGAGCTTGCCCCCTACAGGCGCAGGCCTGTAAGCACACCTTAGCACCAGGGAGCAAGGTGAAGGGGAGCCCTCCAGGTAAGGTCACCCTCTTTGAGAAAGGGAACAGACAACCTGACCCCTTGAAATCGGTGGCATCCTGGATGGGAGCTGTGCTTAGCAAAAAGGCAAATGGGTTACTCGGGAGGGAGGAAGAAGGTGGAATCTAAGGTGGTGTACCCTGAACCTCCGAGAGGGAGACAGGAGTCCACATGGAGTCAGCAGAGCTGGCCGCTGGCACCAAATCTGTCCTGAAGAGCAACAGCTTAATGTTCACTGTTGATGACGCTAAACTTACTTCACATGCATTGCATCACTGAATCCTCACAACCACCCCTTGAGGTAGGTGTTACCATCTTCATTTTACAGAGGAAAGTGAGGCCTGGGAGTCTTGTGTGACTTATCCAAGGTTGCAGTGCTGGTGAAAGGTGGAGCCAGTATTCCACCTGCATGCAACTCCAAGGCACATCCTTCGCCCCTCTGTAACGCAGGCCTCTTAGGGGGCAGGTGATCCTGGGGCGCAAGGGCAAGTCACTCCCACTCTCTGATAGGGCAGTAAGAGCATTTGGCTTGGGGCTCTCAAGGAAAATGACTTGAGATTAAAGGGCACAGGAAAAGTAAAGAGACCGGCCCAGGGAATTCCACACCTGAGCAGCTCAGAGAACCCAGGGGAGAGCAGCCGACTGCACAAGTCCCTTCCACAGGAGGGCAGACAAGGCAGGATCTGATTTGGGGGAAAAAGGAAAGAAAAGAGGGTCTCCATGGGCTGGGGTTCAGAAAACCAGGGCAGAGTAGACTTTCGCCATTTATCAGCATGTCTCTCTGGCCATACCCTACGTCTGCCTGACAGCAGGTCACACAGAAATCCTGATTATATGATGTTACATGACCTCTCCAAACCTATGGCCATAGCTGTAGAATGGAATAACAGTCCCAGCCTTTCCTACTCTATGTGTAGAGATGAGGCCCGAATAAGATAATAGATTTGCAAGTCCTAGGGTGATTACTACGATTGCATAGGTGTAGAGTGGGTTAAAGACATTAAGCCCCAGTGTTCAGCTGTTAAATCCCATTAAAGGGGGAAATAAAAACATGTTGGCGAAGAGTTGGGACTCAGCTCTGCAGCACGGGGAATGGTGATGACTGGGGAAGGGGCGCAGAGTCTGCTCCTGCTTGGGACCTGGATGTGGCCAGGCTGGGACAAGAGGAGGATGGGAGAATGGGCCAGCCCTGCAGCATCACCAGACCACACTGATGCTGGCCAGCTCCCTCCCCTCTCCACTTTAGAGGCTCCAGAGACATAATCCCAGGAGCTTAGCTTAGCAGAATCCAAGGGGGCTTGCTCAACCGAGCAACCTAATTCTGCCAGGAACATCAAAGATGTTAAACTGACTTTTGGGAGCCACTCTGAGACGGACCTTGACAAACTGGAATGTTTAGGGAGTGCACCCAGACTGAGCAAAGGACTCGACATCACCTGTGAGCAATGGCTGAAGGAACTGGAGCTATTTAGCCAGGAGGAGAGAAGGCCTGTGTGGCCCACAGAGCCACGGGGACTACCAGCAGCCTCGAAGCAGAGATCAGGCCAAGTGAAGAAAAAGGCATATAACAGCTAGAACCTTCTACGGTGGCACTGGCTGCAGGAGAGAGTCACCTCACTGTCACTGGAGGTGGTAAGCAGAGGCTGGGTACCGGCAACCAAGGATGCTGCAGAAGGAATTTCTGACCACCTACCTGCTGCTGCCCGGCCCCCATCTTCTTGCCTGCCCCTTCCATCTTCGGTGAGCCTGGCTGCCCAGAGGTACCCTCTTTGTTGCCACTGCTCATCAACAACTTCTTGAGCTCCAAGTTTTCCTCCCTGGGATGGAGGTAAATAGACAAGTCACAATGCTGGCCCTGAGTTCAGAAATCTACAGAGCTCCCTAATGCTCACTATCACATGAGTTGCAGCTAAGCCCCAGGGAGTACTGCAGGATCCCGAAACCTGCCCTCAGGGAAAGCCAAAAAGGGCATCCTTCAGCCACCTTGCTCTCAACCTGTGGGCTTCCCTGGAGGTCTCTGATTGTCAGTGGCAGGGTTTCCCCAGCTGTGGAATATTTATGCATGTGAGACCTTCAGGATGTATCCAAACACTGCATTAAATAACCCTGGATCACATTCTAGTGAGAAAGTGACACCCTTTCCAATTATCTTCACATTTCCTATGTAGAGCATGCAGACGATGTGAGCTTGGTGCTGACAGGTCCTGGCACACCTCCAGTTACTCCCCAGTCTCCCTCGTTAACACAGAAATGCAGGCTGCAGGCTCAGTGCCTTCAATGTGCAGTCATACTTAGCCTGAATTCATTCACATCCTTTCATTTTCATTGTATTTAGTGCTGTCTTCTATTCATCATAGGTAATGCTTTTTTCCATTTACTCTAGTTAAAGTTTCCTTTATAACTTCAAGTAAAAATACGAATCAAATTCAAGAAAAATCCTAAGTAGCTAATAAAACAGGTGATAGAGGATACCGTAAAATTGGTAGTGTGGATTCAGGTCTGACTAAAGTGTTTCTTTCTTTCTTTTTTTGAGACAGGGTCTCGTTCTGTCACCCAGGCTGGAGTACAGTGGCCGATCTCGGTTCATCACACCCTTGACTGCTCCTACTCAAGTAATCCTCCCACCTCAGCCACCCTCCACCTCCCCGACAACACACCCAACCCTCCTGAGTAGCTGGGACTACAGACACGCACCACCACACCTGGCTGATTTTTTTTTTTTGGTATTTTTTGTTGCGGCTGGGGGCGGGGTGGTGATACATTTTGCCAGGCTGGTCTCAAACTCATGGATTCAAAGCAATCCTCCTGCCTCAGCCTCCCCAAGTCCTGGGATTACAGGTGTGAGCCAGCCTCCACACCCAGCCACCATTTCTTTAGGTTCCATTTGCCAGCTGAGTTTCCACTTGAAAAACCAAAAAGTGACTTTCCCAAGGGCACACAGCAGAGACTTGCATTCTTGCCTTCTAATCCATGAGCCTTTTCCCCACCTTCGGTTTCTGAATCCATGGATTGGGTCATTAGGGGTATAGAAACCCCAAAACTGCATGCTTGGCCATCCAAAAGTAAATGAATTACACACTGATCCAAAATAGCCAATGGCTCAGTAGTTAAACGTTACTTCTGTGGCCGTATTTAAGAAGTTTATATTCCTTCTCTTTCTGTTGATTCTAATTAGAAACGCGAGGGGGTGGGAAACAGAGGGGCAAGTCCTGTCTATAACACAGGCCTTTCCTGTAAGGGCCTGAGCCCAGCTGGTACCCAACAGATGACTCATCACTCAAATTGTCCAGGACCACAGTGCAGGCAGGAATTGTGGCCACTCTAGAGGATAGAGAGCAAAGAGGCCCAAATTCTTGTCGTAAGACTACAAGCAAGTCCCCCTGCCTCTCCCTGGGCTCCGGTTTCCCCTCTGCGCAGCGCAAGGTCTGGCCTGAATGATTCCAAGGGCTCGTCAAACTCTGACAGTCAAGATCAGTGTTTCCCAAGGCGTGATCCTGGGCCTACCTCCATCATAATCACAGAGACTCCTGCTGAAATGCAGGCTGCGAGATCTTGCCTAAGACCTGTCAATTCAGAATCTTGCAAGGGAAGGAAGGGCAGGCGTATGAACTTACAATGTCTTTCCCTGACCCTCAACCCTCAGTTAAGTTCAAGCCTAGAGTCCAGAGGAGGAGCTCTGATGTTTTCAGGAAGACAGAGCAGGTCAGGATGGTGACCAGCAGGGGACAGCAAAGTCCTGAGTCCTCTGGCACAGCCAGTTCACAGTTAACAGGGCAGGAAGGCGACTGCTGGAGGAGGAAGTACCATCCATGCGCCCTTCTTCTGAAGCTCTCAGGGCACTTCTATATACCTCCCAAGGTGGCAAAAGGGCCAGAGGGAAAATACCAAAGGAGCCAAGGAGAAGAATCAAGAGACCTAACCTCCAAACAGGGCTCTGGGCACCGGGCCTCAGAGCCACGGTCTGAGATCAATGGCTGTGCACCAGGACCCAGAATCCAGAGATCTGTGCAACCACCCAGAAGTCAGTGCTGTGCCTCAGCCCCTCCTCCTGCAGCCCCCACTCCTCGCCCCTGCGCTTACCGTAACCTCTCAGCAGCCTGATCCCGCTGTTCCAGGCCCTCGTCCAGCTTGGCCTTCAGAGCCTCGTTCTCCTTCCGAAGCTGCTCGCACAGGGTCTGCGGGGCAGGGGAGCAGACAGAGTGAGGGGGAGGAGGGGTGTCTCCTAGGTGCAAGCTGAGCTAGACGACAGGGAGGGGCTGTGGCCACCCCAGGGCCCAGCTCCTTATCTCCTTTGCCTGGCCTCACCCAATCCTTCTCTAAGGAGCTAAGCCACTTGGCCACCCACATGTCCTCTCCCTTGGGAGCCAACAGGGAAGCCTGACCAAGTATCAGCCATGGGGCCTTCTGCACCTCCAAGCCAGACAGCCGCATCCCTTCTCCCCCTTTGTCCCTGCTCCTACTGCCGAGACCCCCGTTCCCCACCAGCCTACCCGGCTGACTTCTTCTCTTCTTTGAAGTCTTAGCTTAAATCCCATCTCCTCACAGAAGTCCTCCCTGATTCCCCATCCAGCTAAAGCAGGCCACCTCCCTTAGCCTCACTCACAGCCCCCTGCTTTTATGCTTCTCAGCACCTGTGACAGACAGAGCTAAAGAACTGTTTGTGCTGCTGTTTTCTTAGGATCGACCCCACTTACCCCCAACTAATTCCCGAGCTCCCAGAGGGCTAGGACCCTCCTCATTATCTTGTTCACTGCCAGATCCCCAACCCCCGAGGCTCAAAGTTTGTGGAAGGAACAACATGACTGGCCGGCCGGCCAAATGAACACATGGACAAATGAGCAGAATAGTCCTGCAGGGGCTGAAAGGCTCATCAGTTTGCGGGTGTGAGAGGTGCCCAGTGCCACCAAGGGGAAAGTCAGAAGATGGGGCCTTCAGTCAGGACCTCACTAGCTCTCCCACTCTCGCAGTGTGGCTGTGACACTTGGTTCCCTCCTCTACAAAAGGACAACTGTTTCCTTCTTTCCTTCTTTCTCCTGCCTCAGCCTCCTGAGTAGCTGAGATTACAGGCATGCACCGCCACGCCTGGCTAATTTTTGTATTTTTAGTAGAGACCAGCCATGTTGGCCAGGCTGCTCTTGAACTCCTGACCTCAAGTGATCTGCCCGCCTCAGTCTCCCAAAGTGCTGGGATTACAGGAATGAGCCACCATGCCCAGTCCAGGGACAACTGTTTCTTCTCTGCCTCCTCTATAGGGCTGCTGAGAACAGATGAGACAGTGAAAGTGGAAGCGTCCGTGCACCGCCAGCCACTTGCTTATGTGTGGGGGCTCATGTTGGAAGGACTGGGAACTGGGGGCATGGAAGAGGGGCTGCCAGACTCAGGACCTCACAGGCTCGGGGGAAGGGAAGGTGCTGACTAGCAACGCTAACATACAGTGTCAGCACAGAGTTGTTCAATCTTTCCGCAAACCCTCACTGAGCACCTGACCTGTGCCAGGTACATGGCTGGCTGCTTCTCCATACACCATCTCACTGGTACCTCACAACTTCCCAAAAGCTGAGTAACTCATCTCTATGTTAAAGGTAGGGAAACCAGGTAAAATGATACAGTCTAACAGGTGCACAGCTGCTAAGACTCACCAATGGGAATAAACTTCATCTGGCAGACCCTACACTGGCATCGCCTTCCCCTGTGATGAAAGATCAGAGAGGGGAGAGAGATGGTGCCCAAAGGAGGAGACAGCCTTTGAACTGCACCAGGACCAGGGTCATTCACTAAACAGCCATCTGCTCCCTTCCAGCTCCCAGGCCTGTTGCAGGTGGATGCAATCATGTGACAAGTTCTGGCCAAGAAAAGAGGTGTGGAAGGGACAAGCATCGCTCCTGGGCTGGCCTGTGCATGATTCTCTAGTCTCTTTCTCCTGGTAGCAGGGGCTGATATGGATGTCTCGTTTTCTAAAGGGCACTGGAAGGTGGGATCCCTGTCTCCCTGGGACTCTAAGGAACGGTGTAGAGCAGAAACAAACCCCTGCCACACAGCATAGAAGGGAAAACTTCTGTTGTGTAATCCACGGAGATTTCAGAGTTGTTTCTTTTCTGACTCACCCAAGAGAGTCTTGGGAAGGCAGAATGGAGACACTGCCTTAAATGGAGGTGGTTGGACAATGAGGGAGATGAGGGAAGCTTAGAAAACAGAAAACTGGCTGGGCACGGTGGCTCATGCCTGTAATCCCACCACTTCGGGAGGCTGAGGCAGGCGGATCATGAGGTAAGAGATTGAGATCATCCTGGCCAACATGGGGAAAACCCATCTCTACTAAAAAATACAAAAATTAGCTGGGCGTGGTGGTGCACGCCTATAGTCCCAGCTACTCGGGAGGCTGAGGCAGGAGAATTGCTTGAACCCGGGAGGTGGAAGTTGCAGTGAGCCGAGATCGTGCCACTGCACTCCAGCCTGATGACAGAGCGAGACTCGGTCTCAAAAACAAACAAACAAAAAGAGAAAACAGGCCGGGCGCGGTGGCTGATACCTGTAATCCCAGCACTTTGGGAGGCCAAGGTGGGTGGATCATCTGAGGTCAGGAGTTCAAGACCAGCCTGGCCATCGTGGTAAAATGCCATCTTAAAAAAAAAAAAAAAAAAAAGAAAAGAAAGAAAACAAAACTGGCTGGGCGTGGTGGTCCACACCAGTAATCTCAGGACTTTGGGAGGCTGAGGCAGGAGGATCACTTGAGCCCCAGGGGTTCAATATCAGCCAGGGCAACATGGCAAAACCCTGTCTCTACTAAAATACCAAAAAATTGGCCAGGCATAATGGCACATGTGTGTAGTCTCAGCTATTCAGGGAACTGAGGTGGGAGGATTGCTTGAGCCCAGGAGGTCAAGGATACAGTGAGCTGTGGTCACACCACTACACTCTAGCCTGGGTGATGGGGCAGGATCTTGTCCCCTACCACCCCTCAAAACACAGAAATCAGAAGATTATAGTGCTGAGTCCATTCGGTAGGTAGCAGAGAGCCTTATGCTATACCTGATCTTGAACATGTTTGTTTAGTGAACTAAAAAACAGCAACAAATGAATGAGAAGGAACTGGATTAATAACCCTCCACCCACACAGTATAAATACCCAAGATGCCATGTCTCTGGGCGAGGCATCCAGGGAACAGAATGGCCTGCTCCTGGTCCCTAAGGGAATGCCAGGACAAGGCCTCACTTATTATCCCACCCTTCCGGTCTAGAGGGCTGTTTCCTTGGAGTCTCTGGGCCAATGCCCTGGGTGCAAACTGGCCAATGGATAGAATCATCAGAGGTCATAAAGGTCATCACCGTCCATCCAAGGCGCTACAAGAGCTAACCTACGAGTTCATTTGCTCATGTATTCTTTTGTTCATTCATTCATTCATTCACCAAATGTGTATGAAGTGCCAGGAACTGGGACGCCACAGTGAATACAACAAACATGGTGCCACCCCCCTCAAGCTTACCTTCTAGCAGAGAGTATAAGAAAAAAAGGGAATCATTTTATTGTATTAAATAAATAAAATGTTTAATAACTATGGTAAGAGCTAAGAAGAAAATAAATAGGGAGGGGCCTGAAATAAAAAGTAACAGAGATTTTGGCAGGACCCCTTTTAGGAGTTCTGGGATCTATCCCCATTTCAAAGCTGAAAAGTGGATGCACAAAGTGCTCTCACCCCAGGCACCTTCCCACCCTGCCCATGGCCCAGGCCCTGTGCCAGGCTCACCTTGCCACAGTTCAGCCTGGACACCCTGAAGCCTCACTGACATCTTAAAGGGGTTCCCCTCTCTCAGCCTTGCCCTCCAGGTCTCTGCCTCTCATTCAGCCTCACCTCCCGACACACCACTCCCCTCCAGGTGGGATGGGTGGCCTTCCTGTTCCTCTGCCCCTACACCTCTCCTCACACCGCTTCTCCAACCTGGATGCCCTTCCGGCTCTTGGCAACCCAAGGTCACACAAGGGGGACTCCCCCTTCTGCCACCAGTGGGGCACATGAGTGCCTGTGACAGGAATGAGACCATGGACCAGGGACTGGCCCAGGAGGAGGGTCTGCAGGGAGTAAGGAGACTTCGTCATGGCTCTGTCACTAAGGTGGCAGGTGCTCAGATCACAAGCAGTCCCTCAGAAGCCTCTGTTTTGCCATCTTTAGAATGGTCACCAATTATAACTGAATCCTTCCCTGCTTCCAAAGCCCACAAGGCTAAGATACCTGGCACAGTGTGGATGTCCGTCATGAACTCCTAATGGGGACCTCTCTTCCAGCACGGACTATGTTCTGGACTGCACTGGGTGTTTCATGTACAAGGCCTCACTGAATGCAGCAATGAGGCTGGGTGTGGTGGCTCAAGCCTGTAATCCAAGCACTTTGGAGGCCAAGGCAGGCGGATCACCTGAGGTCAGGAGTTCAAGACCAGCCTGATCAACATGGTGAAACCCCGTCTTTATTTAAAAAAAAAAAAAAAAAAAAGATAAAAGTGACTTGTCCAAGGTCACACAGCAATAGAGAGTCACTATTGGAACCAACGGCCATGTAATTCCAAGGTCTGGCCTGGCCTAGCAAGGAAATCTAACCATTCCCCACAGCACGAGGAGGCTTTTGAAAAGAATTTGATAGGGGAGGCAGGTTGGGATGGTGGTCAAGAGTATGGGCTTGTAATACAACAGATCGAGGTTCCAATCCCAACTTCAGTGTTGACCAGCTAGGTAACCTTGGGCAAAAAAAGGGTTGCTTCCCCACCTGTGAAGTGGCAATAACGGGGGTGCCTACCCTAGGGGGCAAGGGGCGTAACAAAAGGAGCTGACCGTTGTTCCCTCCCTTCCCCTCCCCCCACCCTGCATATGAGAAATGAAGGCAGGATTGCTAGGGGTATCCCCAACCGTGACACTCACATTGCCCATCCTGTATTTCTCCATTTCCTTCCTCTTCCTCATCCCGCCCCACAACTTCCTTATCCTGTTTATTACCCTGAACAAAAAGCCCAGAGTCTGCACAAGACACAGCCCTCAGAAGTCCCCATGGTACCTGTGGATTCCCAGGAGCAGGAAGGTGGGAAGAGCCGGGGGTGGAGTGGGGGGGAGAAGCACACTCGCCTGTCTTTGGCCGCCCTCCCGACATGCCTCACCTGCAGGATGGAGGTGCGCTGCTCATTCTTGTGCACCTTGGACGCCAGCCGGTTGAACTCCAGGGCCATGCGGCCCAGGTGGGTGAAGAGCTGGCCATGGTCCGGCTCCTCCGCACAAACGCTCAGCGTGGTCTCCAGGCGCTGCAGGTGCAGCATCAGGTTGCCATCCTCGTGGGGCAGGGGGCCCAGCGCCTGGAGAGGGAAAGGGCACCCGGCCCACTCTTCACCAAGGCCTGAGTAGGTGCTGCCAGTCCATTCTCCCTCGGCTTCCTCATTTCTCATGACTCAGTTTCCCCCTGTGACCCCAGCTCAGCCCAGGGAAATTCTCCAGTTATGCAGGTTCCCTGTCTGGGGCTGACTCACAGGGCAGGGCCCAGGACTCACAGGCCACTGGTGGCTCCACGGCAGCGCGGCCACCATCCTCCCACACACTGGGCCTTGCAGAGTGCCTGACAGTAAGTCACTCATCTGCTGGGTCTCAGCATCCTCATTTACCAAACATTCGCACAACCCTTCCCTCCCTTCAACCTCACAGGGCTCTCAGGAGGAGGAATTGACCCCTGGGAGCAGCACGCCCGGAGAAGGGGCATCACCGCACAGTCGGACCTCCGTATCCGTGGGCTCCACATCCATGGAGTCAACCAACTGCAGATCAAAAATATTCTAAAAGGACAAATTGTACTGAACATGTACAGACATTTTTCTTGTCATTATTCCCTAAACAATAGAGTATAACAAAATGTACATAGCATTTACGTTGTCTTAGGTATTGTAAGTAACCTAGAGATGATTTAAAGTATACAGGAGGATGTACATACGTTACAGGCAAACACTGTGCCATTTTACAAAGCGGCCTTGAGCATCCCTGGATTTTGGTATCCTCAGGGAGTTCTGGAACCACCCTCCCATGGAGACCCAGGGACACCTGAATATATGTCCTGCAATCTCCGCCCCCCAGGTTCAAGCAATTCTCCTGCCTCAGCCCTGAGTAGCTGGGATTATAGGCGTGCACCACTACACCTGGCTAATTTTTGTATTTTTAGTAGAGACGGCGTTTCACCATGTTGGCCAGGCTGGCCTCAAACTCCTGACCTCAGGTGATCCACCCACCTCGGCCTCCCAAAGGGCTGAGATTACAGGTGTGAGCCACCGTGCCCAGGCTGCATGTGTGTCTTCTGGGGAATGGTCCAAGCATTTATCAGCTTCTGAAGACCCATGACTCAAAACAGGTCAAGAACCACAGCTCTAGATATTTCAGAAAAATCCCAAACTAGTACAACATCTAAGACATAAAGCAAGAGAGTTGACTCTTTCTCTCTAGTGTATCTGCAATACTCCTACCAAAGACTGCCTTTGTTATGCCAACTCCACACCCAAGGACCTACAGTGTTACCCTACTGCAGACAGCACTGGGCTCAGCTCCCCTGCTGTGCATCTAAGGCCCTGTGGCCGCAGGTCCCATCTGCACCAGTGTCCAGTTGGGCTCCCCACTTCACCCTGCCTGAATCCACACACACCAGGTCCGGTGCCTCTCCAGGCTTCAACCCCATGTGTCCTCTCTGCCTCGGCAAGTCCTGCTTATCCTCCCACCCTGCCCTTGCCTCTGCTCCTCCGGCCGCCTCCCAGAAACAGTACAGGAATCACAGGACACCAGAGCTGCATGGAGCCTCAGAAATCAGGCTGGGAAACAAAGCTATGGGGAAGAGGAACTTGCCCAAAGTCACCCAGGAAGTCAGTGGCAGAGATATAACGAGAGGCTTACAGACTCACTATCCAGGGCTCTGCTGCACTGACCTCCCACTTCTCTGAACTCTGGAGAAGTAACAATGACTACAACCACAGCTTGGCATACCCTGAACACCTGTGTAATGGTGTTAGGGCCATATTATTATTATTTATTTATTTATTTATTTATTTTAGATGGAGTCTTTTCTTTGTCGCCCAGGATGGAGTGCAGTGATCTTGGCTCACTACAGCCTCTGCCTCCTGGGTTCAAGTGATTCTCCTGCCTCAGCTTCCTGAGTAGCTGGGATTACAGGCATGCGCCACCACACCCAACTAACTTTGTATTTTTAGTGGAGACAGGGTTTCCCCATGTTGGTCAGGCTGGTCTCAAACTCGTGACCTCACGTGATCCACCCGCCTCAGCCTCCCAAAGTGCTGGGATCACAGGCATGTGCCACCACGCCCGGCCATTAGTGCCATGTTCTAACAACAGGAAATGCTGCTGTTTCAACTCCGCATCCATTCCCTCGCTGCCTCTTTCCACAAAGGAGCTGAGGTGGCAGCTGCTGCTCTATTTAAGGCTCCTGCAGTGCTTCCCATGCCTGCAACTTCTCCAGACTACAAGCTTCAGAGCACAGTGGGGCTCTGTTGTCTTGGCTCAGTGGCTCAGCAGAGACAGGCACCCTGCAGGGCTAATGAGGAACTCAAATGAGCTAAAGTCACCGGTCCAAAGTCAAAGAGTAAAACACTTTCTGAGCAGGGGATCGTTGCCTCCATGGCCAGTATCTCAGAGCCCTCAGGGACAGAACAGGACAAAGGAATGGAAGGTTCCAGGAGACAGAGCATAAAGAACCTTTCCAGAGCTGCCTGAGGCAGTGGTGAGCCTCTCAACACGGAAGGCATGCTAGTTAACTGGACAGCCACCTGAGGGGGCCTGGCACTGGGAACTGACAGGTACAGGGGGCAACCCGTGAACACAAGCACATTTGTCAGCCAAACCTTTGTGAAACCTTTGTTTGCCAAACTTTTGCCAAAGGACGCAGCAGAAATCGACATATCGGTGAATGGTGAGAGCACTTCCTGCTTGCATCACAACAATGAAAGAAAAAAACTTAAAAGTGGGAAGGAAGGGAGAAGGTAGGGATTTAAGACCTTTGAAGAATCTTCCAGACTTTTCACAATGGTTCTCCAATAAGTCTGCCATTTTAAGAAAGAACAGAAGGAGATATAGTTAGGGTAAAGGCAGCCAGTGTTATGAGGTGTGGAATGAGGAGGCTGGGCAGGCGCTTCGGAGCTGGGCGAGTTTGTGTGTGTGCGTGTGTGTGCGTGTGCGTGCGTGTGTGTGTGTAAGTGGAAAGTTTAACCTCCTACCTCTGTGCTCCCTAGAGGGAGCCAAGGAGAGACAAGAGCTTGCACAAAGAATAAATAACCTGTCTTCCAGGGCCCTGGGCCTTTCTGACCCTTCTTTCTCCCCCGGGGTTGGGAGACCACAGACCCAAAGCACTGAGTCGTAGTGTGCAGAGGTGCCTGGCGCCTGGCAGAGGGCAACAGGGCTGGCGAAGAGCCCAGGCTTTCACAACGGTCGGGTGCCTGTACGCCCCAAGTCGGTGAAGTCACTAGCCCGGGAATTTGCATATGTGAGCCAGAAGTATCCCCTGCTCCTGCCCCTTGTGTGTCCCCAGGTGACTCCAGGGTACCCAAGGGATCTGAACAGGTCCTGTGCCTTTCACATGGTGGCAAGTGAAAAGACAGAAAGGGGGCTGGCAGGTCGAGCCCGGGGACCTGCCCATCCACTCACCATTACATTGGCATGGCTGCTGCTCTCTGGCGGAGAATTCTGCTCCTCAGCAGAGACCACTTCAAATTCAGAGGAGGTGCCCTGTGCAGAAAGGGAGTTAGATGCTGCCAGGGAGAAAAACAGCTTGGCCCTCCTCTCTGCAGCTGTGAGCAGGAACGGGGAATACATCTCTTCCCACTTTGAATTCACAGGCGATGTTACATATCATCTCACATGAGATCACAAAGCAGAGTTCCCGACAAGCCCGTCATAACCCTCTGTGTAATAAGAGGTCACATCCCCTCGACGGCCAATCCTCTTCTGTAGAAGAGAAGTGGGACCAGTTGACCTTGAACCAGCAGCACTTTAGGCCTGCATTTTTTTAAGGCCTTGCACTTTTTAAATGCTTTCATGAGCTGCATTATTTCTCAAAGTGACCCATGGAGTGGGTCAGAAGGTTATAACCTCTTTGGAAAGAAGAGGAAACTACAGTATGCAGTTGGTTAATGCAAAAGCAGGGACTGAGCCCCAAGATTGCAGATCCAACATTCCTGCTACGGCCCCAGAGCTGTCTCTTAGGCCCCGATGTCTCCGATGGCAGGTGTTACAGCCACCACCAAGCAGTCCTGTGCTCGCCTTCCCAAGCCAGTCCTGGAGATCCCAGAGGAGTGAACTGATCTGAGAAAAGTCCCAGAGATGGTTCAACAAATTTGGAGACTTTTTCAGGATTCCACCAAATCCAGAGGGGCCAAGGAATCCCAGATTTTTTCACATCTTTCCATCATTCCAAATAGAATTACTGGTCAGTCAACCAGCCGAGAGGTCAATGGTCCAACCAAACCAGCCGTTAGCTGTGGGATCTGGGATTTCCATATCTTGTTAAACACGGTCGGCAAAGACAACTTCAGCCTCCCCACATCCCAGAAAGGGGCAGGACAGGTGAGAGGAGTCTGTGCTCAGCTTCCAGCTAAGCCTCACGGCCACCAAGAGCTCACCTCCGGCTCTTGTCCCTGCCCTAGAAATTCCACCTCCTCCATCTACATTTTCCCCGTTACCCATGTAACCTCAAAACAGGTCCTTCTTAGCCGGGCACGGTGGCTCAAGCCTGTAATCCCAGCACTTTGGGAGGCCAAGGCGGGTGGATCACGAGCTCGAGAGATCGAGACCATCCTGGTCAACATGGTGAAACCCCGTCTCTACTAAAAATACAAAAAATCAGCTGGGCATGGTGGCATGTGCCTGTAATCCCAGCTACTCAAGAGGCTGAGGCAGGAGAATTGCCTGAACCCAGGAGGCGGAGGTTGCGGTGAGCCGAGATCGCGCCATTGCACTCCAGCCTGGGTAACAAGAGCGAAACTCCGTCTCAAAAAAACAAAAAACAAAAAACAAAACAAACAAACAAAACAACAACAACAACAACAAAACAGGTCCTTCTTTATCAGCACCTGATCTGTAGGATAAAGATGCAGAACTATACAATCCCTTGTAGGAAACCAAGCAAAACTTTTCCAGCCAAATCTGTAGACGGTTTTCTTCTTCTTCTTCTTCTTCTTCTTTTAATGAGAGGGTCTCACTCTGTCACCCAGGCTGCAGTGTGGTGACATAAAGATGGCTCACTGCAGCCTTGACCTCCTGGGCTCAAGCGATCCTTCTGCCTCAGTCAGCCTCTCAAGCAGCTGGGATCACAGGCACACACCACCATAACCAACTACTTTTTTTTTTAAGAGAGGTGGAATCTCACTATCCTGTCCAGGCTGGTCTCAAACTCCTGGGTTCAAGCATCCTCCTGCCTCAGCCTCCCAAAGTGCTGGGATTATAGTTAAGAGCTATTGTGCCCAGGCTGTAGAAGATGGTTTCTGAGCCCTCTTTAAGAATGTGAGCTCCACGTCACATCTGTCTGTTTTCCTAGCACTGTGCACAGTCAGTGATACTTAACAGTATGCAACTTAGTGAGAAGAATTCCTTGTACATACCAGGGTCTTCCTGGTAGGTTTTAACTATGACCTTCATTTCAAAATGGGGAGGCTGAGGCCCCAGAGAGCTTGAGATGGACTTGCCCAGTATCACCCAGCAAGTCAGAACAGTTTCTTGACCTCAACTCTCTTTCTTCATGTTCTCATATCTGTCAGCAGGACCTTGAGGTCCAGGCAACCTCTACCCATGACTCCAAACAAAACTTACACTGGATGGAGGCTTCTGGACTGGTGATGGCTTGTCACTGGGGCATGCAGGGGCAGTGGGAGGTGCTGTGACATTTGAGTCTTTTCCTAGGGAATCAAGAGAGCACAGAGTAACTGACTGGGAAGGGGAGAAGCCCAGGTACCACCCTCTCAAAAACAGTCCTTGCCAAAGGAGTTTTCAGACAGGGTTCCCCACTTGAATCTGGGAAAATGGGAGGTGGTCTCATCAGGGCCAGGTAGTCTGAGAAAGTGGCGTGCCCTGGAGTGACAGGGTGGAGCCTGAGCAGATTGACCATGCTCCCGAGGCTTCCTGGGAAAATCCCAAGTTGGCTGCTGTTCCTTGCTGCCCTGGACATGCTTCAATGATAGGGACAATTGTTTACAATTAACAAAGTCTTTATGTAGCTATTATCCCAGCCATTCTCATAAAAGCCCTATATCCCCATTTTAAAGGTAAGGAAACCGAAGGCCTGGGAAGGTCATCAACTCGCCCACAGTCACAGAGCCAGCAACCACAAACTCAGGACTGAGACCTGGCTCTCCCTCCCTGACTTCCTATGGTTCTTGCTGCAGGGAGCTCCTTGAAGGTAGCTTCATTTCTCACTTTGGAGAGCGGAACTTGACACTAATCAGGAACTCAGGAACACTGCTGACTGGGCAGGCAGAGGCTGGAAACACCCACGGACCGCAGCACAGTGGACTCTGAGACCGTCACTTTCCTCCAATTGTCCATTCAGCAAATGCAACCGCCCACCCAATAGAAGGCTGTCATATTGGCCTGGGCCAGATACCACACGGCAGAGCTGCAGCAGGACACATCTGAGTCCAGTTGGGGTGGGATCATTTCCATCCTGGTCCCAGACTTTGCCCTGGACTTGGAGACATGCCAGAGTAATGCACACACTCTGTATGCACTGGTAACGTCTCATGGGACTTCAACCCCAGGTCACAGTCACCCTTTCCTTTAACGGGCAGCACACGTGACCATATACCAGAAATACGCTGCAGCAGGCTAACAGGCAAGCCCAGCTTCTTCCCTGGGCCTCGGCTTTCCTAATTGGAAAATGGAAGCACAGGGCACGACCAGGGAGCTTTCAACTCATATGCCAGCTCCCAGTGACAGGGAGTGGCGGTTTGGAGTGCTATGCCTGGCACACAGTAGCTGCTTGTTAAATATCTGCTCACTCAACATGTTGATAAAGACCCCAAGGCCACAGGGCTGCCATGCAGTCCACTGTTGTGATCTATTACTCATGCCTGCTGGGGCCTCGGGAGTGCTGAGTCATTGGCTATTTTTAACAAGATTGTTTTGAAGTCCCTTCCAAATTTGACCTTCTGGGGGATGCTGCAGCTAAAACACGAATGGAAAGGTAGCCTGTGGCCTAAGAATAAACCAGGGGATGTGGGTTTTGGCATAAGAAGGGAGTTCACCGTGAAGAATCTGGGCAGTTTAGGGTACAGGGAGAGTCAGAGGTACCCAGACTCCTCTTATACCTGTGAGCTCAGCCAGGGGGTCGAAAGAGCCCAAGGAGGGAGAAGGTGGTGGGGGCAGCTCATTGTCCTTCACCAGCTCCTCTGCCTTCTGCCGAAGCCTGGCCGCTTCCATCTGCGACTCTTCCAAAAGCTCCCCTAGAGGTATTGGGGAAGAAGGAGCAAAAGCGTTTACTCAGTTCCAAGCGCTGCTTCTCGCCCCAGGCCCCTAAACCTGCTGCTGCCTGGCTTCCAAGGCTCCAGGCCCCGGACTTCACTTCCACCATTGCTCTGTGGGTCTAGGGGTACAAACTCCATGCTGGCTCGCCATAAGAAACAGGCTAGAGTAAGGAAGAGGGCCCAGCAATTGGGGGACATAAGAGCAGAAGGAATCTATGAGAAACTCCTAGCCCCCTCCATTCTCTTTCTGCCCCACTCCCTTCGCACCCAGCCAGGGGACTCCACAGAAAGCGAGGGGCTCTCCACCCTACTACCATAGCACCCCAGGCTACCCACAGCCTGACCTGGGCAAAGGGCTGCCTGCAGGGTGGAGAGCCTGGATAATTCCAACCAGCCCTCCAGGCCTCCGTTTTCCTTCTCCCACAAGCAGGTGTGGAGAAACTTCACTCCTCCCTCCCTAGTCTACCATCCCAAGCAAGGGTCTGCTAAGCAAGGAGAAAGCATTTTGAAAATCAGAGAGCTACGATCCCCTCTAAAACCTGAGACTAGAGAAGGGAGCAGCAAGGCAAAAGAAGAGTTTCAGGAGTTTGGAAGAAAGAGAGCCCCCTCTGGATGGGGAAATCAGTGAAAGCCTTGCCTGGGAAGAGGAGGGGACACAGCAACTGGGTGCTGATGCACAGGGACAGTCGGTCACGTGGAGGGAAGTGGGGGTATCCTAAAGTGGGGTGGGCTTGAGCAAGAGCCAGGAGAAGAGAGCTGGGCGAAACCGCCTCCTTGCTTCAAGCCAAGCTCTGCTCCCTGTTCCAACACTGGGGATGCGTGCCCCAGTTGCCCTGGTGATGCTGGCTCTCCTCATCTCTCATGCCCCAGGAAGAGGAGGCCATTCTAATTCCATGTCCACCAGCTGGGCCTTCCAGCCCCCTCTCTGTCAGCCCACACCTCCCTCTTGGACCCTCAAGGTACCTGAGTCCTGCCATCCTCATTTTGGGGTGCTGGGGAATCAGGGCTGGAATACTGTCACCATGCTACACGGTGCACAGAGACACATCTGTGAGGCAGGAGCCACCAGCGCTGGGCCAGGAGGGACAGGGGATGACTTGGGCAGAGGCACATGCCAGCTGCATTCTTTACTGCTCGTGGAGGGGCTGGCATCACAGGCTGCAGAGAGGGGGGCTCGCAGGGAGGGGACGGGGTCTGCTTTACCTAACATCTTTATCCCTTGCATTTTTTCCTTCAGCCGGGAATTCTCCTTCACTAGGCGCTCAAAAGCTGCGGATGCCTCTCCTGAGGGCACGCTGCCCCCAGGGTCGTAGATCCGGTACGGTCCTCTCCCTTCCATGAGGGTAGCTCAGCCCCTGCTGTGGTGCCCGCCTGGCTGTAAGGACAACAGCAGCATATCAGCAGGCTGGCCAGGCCATGGGGGCATCCTTTGTGGGAAAGCTTTAGTCTGTCAATGCCCCAGAAGGCAGTCCCCCACTTTAGGCTGGTCTGACCATACTATAGCAAAGCAGGACAGTCACCTCCTTTGATTTGGACACTTTGCCTCTATTAATACAACCTTAGAATGTGATTAGTTTCTTTTAGCAGCCTCAGTGCACTGCTGGCTTCTTTGGAATAGGAGTCCAAATAAGCAGTAGGGTGCAATGTGGGATACAAGAAAGAACCTGGACATGGAGTAAAAAAGTCTGAGTTCATGTCCTGTCTGTGAGGTCGGGAAGAACGCGAATGTCATCTGTTTTGCCCATCATTGCATCCTCAGAGCCCAGCACAGCATTAGCTATGAATTTTGCCCAAAAAAGGCTTGCCCAATTAATGGCCTGGCCATCAATTTACTGTGGGATTGTGGGCAGTCCCTTCCCCTGTCTGAGGAAGGGAAATGAAACTTTTAAGTTAATTCAGTAATCTTTAAAGTGTAATGCTTGTACCCTAAGGGATAAGCAAGTCAACCCAGTCCCAAGTCCCATTTATATGTATGTCATCTTCTTAAAAAAAAAAAAAAAAAGAAAGAAAGAAAAGAAAAAACACCGTGACTAATATGTAATACACTGTCACCTTCCTCTGTGAGTCTCACATCATGCATGGTCTGTCCCCTGCAGTTCTAAGGAACAGGCAAATTTTTTATCAAACCACTGTCTATTTGAGCGGCAAGTTTTTTTTTTTTTTTTTTTTTTGGTAATTAACCTGTTCAATTTCATCTGCTTTATTTCATTCGAAACCACTTGGAAAAGTGATTTTAGAATCCTAGCTCTGTAACTTAGCAGAGAAGCTCTCTGTCCATTCACTACTCATCCATTCAACAATTACTAATTGAGCATCTACTCTGTGCTAGGCACCAGTCTGGAGACTGAGGAATTGCAGCAGACGAAAGTCCTTCATAGAGCTTACAGTCTAGTGGTGGGAGCAGAGGAGAGTGGTGGGGAACACAGTATTTCAGGCAATCAAAAAGTCTATGGACAAAATTTAGCAGGGAAGGGTGAGGCAGGGAATTTCATTTTAAATGGAGCTGTCACGGAAGGCCCCATGGAAAAGGGGCTATTTTAGCAAAGACCTGAAGGAAGTGAGGGAACCAGCCATGAGGATGTCAGAAGGAAGAACATTCTCGGCAGAGAGAACAGTAAGGGCAGAGGTCCTGAGGCCGAAACACGGAGCCAGCCTCCAGCCCTCCAAACAACTCTCCCCGAGGCCTCCACTGGGGACCTCAGAAGGGCTTGGGGGCTGGCTCCCAAGGTCACCACTCCTAAGACAAAAACTGTTTCAACGGGAATCCTCAAAGACCCTTCCAAGTCCACACCGCGCTCAATAAAAGATGACAGTGAGGAAGGATTAGCAGCAACAGCACCATCCTTGAATCAACTCCTTGCTGGACGCCGCATTAAATGCTTCAGATCGACAATCTCGGGAGCTGCACAGTAACTCTAACACGCATACTAACCTCAGCTGCATTTTATAAGGGAGAAACTGAGGCGCAGGGAGGTTAAGTCACTCAGCCATAATGACTTGGCCAGTAATGAGAGCCAAGATGCAACGTCAGCTTTGCCTGCTGCGACTCTAACCCCCACCGTACTCACACAGCCAGGACAGGGCCAGAGGGGCAGACAGGGAGGTCAAGTCTGTTTGCAAGGCAGCACCACGCTATCAGGTCACCTCTGGGCAGTTTCCCCTGCCCTGCAGCATGAGAACCAATAAGGACCTTTCCAAGAGGGTCCATAGGATGGGATGGGCCAGAAAGAAAAACAGAGTTCTGATGAGCAGGACCCCCTCCCCCAAAGGCTGACAAACTCAAGATGAACACACCAGGCGGGAGGCACCCACGCCCCGCTGAGCCCGACAGGCAAAGGACAGCTACCCACACACGCATCACAGGCCATCACCCGGCTTAGGGGCGACTTGTTTGTAACCTGAAAGGTCAACATTCTACAGCGAAGCACAAAGTGCAGATGTTTCCATTAAACTAAGAGACAGTGTGGGGGCAGCACTTAGCACTGTGACTGGCACGTAGTACTCAAAAATGTTGGCAGATGTGGGGGGGTCCTTCCCCTCTGCTCGCCTCTGTCCTCAAGAGCCTTGCCACCCGGCATGGCATGTGTCTGACTGGTGTGGGCATTGCCCATCTGGTTGAAAACTTCCTGAGGCAGAAGCGTACTTCGTGCATCTTGGTATTCCTGTTGGCAGCACGGGAGGGTGAGCCTTCCTTTAGAGCTGCTTAGAGTTCACAAACAGTGAAACGGAGGCCTAGAAGGGACCCGGAGCCACCTTGCCTGCCAAGCGCAGCAGCGTCCTGGTTCCTGTCCACCACTACGCACATGCCCTAAGCGCAGCAGCGTCCTGGTTCCTGTCCACCACTACGCACATGCCCTAAGTGGCACTCATAGCCAATACCACACCAAGGCATGGGCAATTTTTTACTCAATGTCTGCCTTGCCCTGTAGATTAATGGCTGCATGAGGACAGGAAACGAGTCCATCCTGTGTGCCAGGGTATCTTCCGAGTGGCCCAGAGTTGAGCCTCGGCAAATCTCGAATTCGGGGGAGTCGGACTGAAGGGACCCAAGGAGCCCTTGACCCTGACCCTGCCTCCCGCAAGGCCATGTCTCTGACATCCCAGAAAGCCTAATCCTGACCCCTTCAACAGATGCACTTAGACACCCATACACTTCTAGAATCGGGGCTGGGCCAGCCACGCTCCCTCAGAGAGGCCCAGATGTAAAGGCAAGGGACAAAGCAGGATGCAGGATATGGGAACTGAAACCCACTCCACGTCCTCCAAAACACACAATACTCGGTTTCTCTTGGTGCAAGGGAGTCAACAGGGAAAAGGGTTCATGGGAAGCAGAAAGGGGGCAGACAGAGCTACGCTCCCCTACTTTAGCCTCAGGGGGCAGAGCCTGGGGAGAAAGAAAGGCAGTGGGCAGAGGAAACGCAGGAGAAATATCCTTTTGTGGGAAAACCCTCTCTGGATATCAGAGGAGCCACCCCTAGAGGGCCTCGACTTCTGGAGGAAAGAAAGACAAAGAGGGAAACAGGGAATTTCCAGGTCCCGCTGACCTCATGCCCGGATGGTCAGCGTTAGTCTCCGGATGACCACGGGGCCGACGGGAACCCTCCTTCCGATCAGGGAGGTTTTCACAACCTCTCCTTGAGAGAGGACTCACTCTCAGGATGACAAAGCTGGAGGGGAATCTCCAAGGGCAATGAGGTGAATCCCGCATTATCAGGTGGGAGAGAGCGATGTGCCCAGAAATACTCAGTGGATGAGGGGCTGCATTAGAACATGGCGATGGCACGTGCTCCCGTCTGCTGTCCACAAACCACAAGTCTGTATGGAAAGGGGAAAAGGAAGTACTGACTGCTCCCCTCCACGTGGCAGTATCTAGAGTTCAGAGCCCAGGAGTCCCTGGCCATGAGCTCATCCGATCCTCACTGCAAAGGCAGTGCAGCAAGTCAGGGCCCTGAGCAGGGAAGGCCAAGATCACAAAGGAGTCAGGACAGAGCTGGGACCAGAAGATCTCTGCTTTCCCTCCAGGCTGCCCACAGTCCATCCTCCATTTCCCTTCCACATCCTCTCGCAGAGTTCCGTATCCACCTGGCCTGGTTCCAGAAACTACAATTCAGCAGGTGTTCCACCAGCAGTGGGTCTCCAGGCCCCACTGCCAAAACCAGAAACAGCTGGTGGTAAAGGAACAGCCAGTGCAGACTTTCTTCCAAAACAAGATCTCAACAGGGGGCCTCCACAGCCTGCCCGGGAGGAGCCCTGGGGCTGCCCAAGGGAACCAGAAAGGCCCAGTTGGGGGCAGAAAGGGGCAGAGACAGACAGCAGGTCAGGCAGTGACAACAGAGTGTGAAGATGGAAGCGATGCTGCTGAAACCGAAGGAGCCACCCACTGGTAGCAGGCACGGTGGTGGCAGAGGGGGCAGTAGTCCCCAGGGCCCAAATCTCAGCCTCACTCCGGAAGAAGAGGGGTGATAAAGACTACATTCAGAATTAAATGTACATTCCAGCTTTTGCGCTGAAATGCTTTGGTCTGTCAGATTATCTTGCCATTAGCCATGTTTTGGTGGCTGGGTAGGAGGGTGGTCCCAGACCCCCCAAAATGATATTCACTTGCATAGGCACTAACATTCGCAAATTGCTTCAGGTGTCCCAAACACTGTTTTTTCATCTGATTATCACAACAGCCCTGGGGAGAAGGCAGCGCTGGTACCTGCCTGATGGATAAGGAAACTGAAGTCCAGCTTGGGGACTGAATCAGCCCAATTTAATACCTCTGGTCACCGGCTGCATCCTGGGGCCAGCTATCTCTGCGACCCTGGAGCAGATGATACCCTCCCTGGCCCAGTGGGAAAAGTGGTAGCAAATCTCTGGTATGGGGAGGTGGAAGGTCATGGAGGCCGACACCCACCTCCCCAGCAGAGGTGAGGGCTACCAGGGATACTGGCAGGTAGGCTGGCAGAGGGGGTATAGGGAAGGGGTCTCCAGGAAAGATGGCATAGAACAGAACGTCAGAGAGGCCTTTTCTAGTGTCTACTCTGCTGTGTATGGGACCATGGGCTCATTCCCTCTCATGCAAGGGGAGAAGCATGGGCCACATGGAAACTGGGCGATGGCTAAAGCTGGCCACAGGATCGAGGACACCCAAGTGTCACGAGCTAGCAGCAAAGTGAGGAAAGAGAGGGAACCAGCACCCTGGAAACATCGCAGACCTGGAGGCAGGAAGAAAGGTCCACACAGGGCAGGTGCTCAAGGGCAACTTTGCAAGCACCCTGCGGGCTGTGAGACCTTGGACCAGCCATTCACCTTTCCTCAGCCTCAGCTGCCTCCTCTGTAAGACAGGAGTAATAATGGAACTGACCTGATATAAGATCAAAGAAATTAAAT